TGTATTTTACATTAATAGCGTTTTTTTTGACTATTCACAATTTGCAAAGAAATTAGTTTTAGGTCAGATATGGAAATGGGCGAAATTGGCGATTTCGTATGTCTCAATATTTCTATCAACCACAGATGTAATGTCAAAGTGGAACTAATAGGCCCCCTCCTCTAGTACAATAATATAAAATCCAACAGATTATGAAAGTAAAACACTTTCGGCTTTTTGAAAGTTTGCATGGAAAAGTAACCAAAATAGAGGGAACAAGTTCTCCCCTCTTTCACAGTTTTGGAAATTTTCGCATTAAGATTCCTCGGAATCCATGCATATGTCATCAAAGAAAAAAAATTCTACTGCATTGCAAAAAATATTGCATTATGTTCCCAAAAAAAAACCGGAAATAATCACTAATGTTTTGATTAATTTTTTCCTCAGACTTCTCGAGTTCTCACCTGGAAGTAACATAAAATTTCGAAAAAAAAAATTATTGCAGATAAAGACACTATGTACCTTAAATGCACAGATTACGAGAAATCTTAATCCGAATATTTCCAAAGGTGCGGAAGAGGGGAGAAATTGTTCCTGCTATTTTGATTTTTTTCCATCGGCACACCCCTTCTGTTAGCTCCCACGCAATGGGTCAATATTTTTAATTTATGGGTCATAAATGCGGATCCGGTCTGCGATTTTTTTCAAACTTCGTACATCTCAATAATTCTAACAACCGTAGATTAAAAAAGAGTAAATGTACTGCATCGTTCCACAGCTTTTAGTACCTCTCCCACAAAGGGCCAACACTTGGAATAGTTATAACCCTCATAAAATGTGAATCAAGTGATTTTCTTGAGACATCCCAATGCTTTTACCAGTGTTAGATGAAGTGTGAAACCTAAGTATATTGATCCATTCTTCCTGGTGCGATTCTCACACAAGTTCCACTCTTTCCAAAAAATGTATACATATATCTTACAGGGATATATGCATGGCTCTCTTCCATTTTACATAGACATAACAATCTAGCTAAAAATAAAATTCTCTTTGGTATTGAGGTTTTTGCCCATTGCTCGGGGTGTACAGAAGCTGCGGTGCAGGTGTCTGTCAGTATTAACAAGAAATTATTTTTGAGCGCATCCTTTTAATAGGTGTGTCTGGTTACTTTTCCTGCAGGAATTGTCCAGTAACTTCTTTCTGAGAGAGTAAGATAGTTTTATTCTCTTTTGCAAGGAAAATGCGAAAAGTAAACAGACGGTATTCCTGCAGAAGCTTGCAACTAATCAGCTGATCAAATCAAAACAAACCAATTTGTCCCCCATAAGGAGAATTAAAACAAAGGAAGCAATAGGTGTGTCTGGTTACTTTTCCAGCAGGAATTGTCCAGCAACTTCTTTCTGAGAGAGTAAGGTAGTTTTATTCTCTTTTGCAAGGAAAATGCGAAAAGTAAACAGACGGTATTCCTGCAGAAGTTTGCAAATAATCAGCTGATTTGTCAAAACAAACCAATAAGGAGAATTAAAACAAAGGAAGCAATACTAATTTTACAAGTTTTTTAAATAAAAATGTTGGAAATAGTCTTTTATTTTCTTATTACATATTAATATTTACTTTTTTCACATTCTTTTACGTTGTTCTCAAATTGAAACTAAACAAACAATAGAAAACATCTGATTGAATGTCGATGAATGAGAAGAAGAAGAGTTGCAAGTGATTGCAAGAAGAAATTTGTCCAGCAAGAATTTGCAAACTCTCACTGAAAGAACTGTCAAAATTTCTCTCTCCAACCGCTCTCTTTTGCAGAACTTTCGGGTTAACAGACGACTTCCAGTAACAATTTGTAACAATTGTTACAAATTTTAGAGTAACCAGACACACCTAATACTAATTTTACAAGTTTTTTAAATAAAAATGTTAGAAATAGTCTTTTATTTTCTTATTACATATTAACATTTACGTTTTTCACATTTTGTAAAGTTTTTCTCCAAAACTATTAGTCTTGCTAATTCCAAAAAAAAAAAATTCAAATTGAAAGCACAAAAATAAATAAACAAACAATAGAAAACATCTGATTGAATGTCGATGAATGAGAAGAAGAAGAGTTGCAAGTGATTGCAAGAAGAAATTTTTCCAGAAAGAATTTGCTAACTCTCACTGAAAGAACTGTCAAAATTTCTCTCTCCAACCGCTCTCTTTTGCAGAACTTTTGGGTTAACAGACGACTTCCAGTAACAATTTGTAACAATTGTTACAAATTTTAGGGTAACCAGACACACCTAATACCGGCACGATGAATGACAATTTTCATTTACATCACTTCCTCATCTACCTATTTTTAAGTACAGTTGTTCATGGCTATAATGAACACAAGTTCATACCATACGCAATTTTCTCGTTGAAGAAGTTAATACATCTATCCAATTAATAAAAAATTTTCATTGTTCGTTTTAACAATGTTCCGCGGTAAAACGCTTAGAGAAAAACTCACGAAAAAAACTATTTAAACAAAAACAATTCCCCTATTCAAAAAACAAAAGGAATGTATTACATCGTATATAAGACTGCTATTTTGTTCGTACATTTTATCAATAGCATACATCTGTATTTGTATATGTATATACATTTATGTGTATACAAGTATGTAATAGAAATTATTTAAAAATAATATGTAATTTATTTGTAAATGCATCTACTGCAAAAGTCTTGACAAAAATGCAATGCAACTAACACATAGTTATTCACAATTGCCGGATATAAGAAAAGTCTTTTATAGCCATATTTACTACTAATTATATTCATATGTATATGCAATATATTAATAACGACAGTATAATGTTATATATGTATACATCATCATATACACCTAGTTTTTCCACAATGTATTAATTGCTAATCAAAAGAGGGGCAGATAAACATGCAATTTAATCTGTTATTTAAGCAGGTTAACATATAACTTCTAAGCAAACCATTTTAACATTTTGCCAAAATATTTTTCATTAAATTAACAATTTGCTAAATAGTTCTCATATCTTTTCTTTTGATTATCAATTGTTACATAAAATTTGTATGGAAATCAGAGATGCATACGAATCTATAAATATTGTAACTAATCTAATATGCTTTATATAACAGAAAATGTGTATTTTAAATCAGGAATACTAGAAATTGATAGAAAAAGTTAAATAAATAAAAAAGTAAAACCGAAACTTTTAAACAAACAAAAAATCTATACAAAAAAAAAAAAACGAAACTTGTTTAGTAAAATTATTTTCTTTATTGCTTTTTGTGATCTTATCTATACACATATACATTCACAATACATGAACAATATAAAATTATACATAAACAAATAATAAACAAAATATTATATATGGATTATCAAATGAAATAAATCCTTAAAAAACTAAAACTGATATCAAGATGTTTTATTCTAGAGCTTTTAGAGTATATTTCAAGTACTGTCGAAACAAGTAATCGCGGACTTTTTAACAGCATTTTCTAGGGTATACCAAAAAAAGTAATAATGGATTTTTAGAGAATATTTATACCCTGCAACACTATGTGTTGGGAGTATTATTACTTTGATTAGGCCAAAAATTATGTAACACCTCGAAATATTGGTTTCCCGCTGAGTCGATCTAGCTAATTTTCTGATTTTACAGTATATAGATTTTGTAGTATTTTGTGATTTTTTTCATATTTTTATCCCATGCGATTTTTTCAATTTGAAGTGTATATTTTGTAATATTTTTTTACCTTACAACACAGGTTGGGGTTATTATATAAAGATTGCAATTATCGTCCGATCCTCACGAAAATTTTCACAAGGGTAGGGTAGGGTTAGGATCAGTAGTTCTAGGCTTATTGTTTTCAAAGATAACCGCAATATATTTTGGGGTTGAAATGAATCAAAAACTAAAAATGTTACTTATTTTGCAGCCATTATAAAGGTCACAAATAAAAAACTAAAGGACACGAAATCTCGCATGAAGTTAGAGTTTAGGACAGCGGGTAGAATGGACCAAAACTTTTGTGTGAAAAAATACCAATTTTACTTACAGGCGATATCGAAAAAATACACAAATGGCGAACTTCTGGATTTTTTATGCCGATTTCGTTGACGAATATAGCCAAATAAATCATATATATGAGTCTAAATTTGGAGAAACAGATGGGCCTTTTGCTTTTGGAGATGATCGAAAAATATTTAGGGGTTGAAATGAACCAAAAACAGAAAACACACAACTGAAGCCAATCGACAAACCTGAGCAGAGAGTTAAGGACAGGGAAGAATTCTAACATTTTGGATCACTATGGGATTATATTTAGCTGTAAAATGGACCACAAATATTGGGCAAATGTCCCTGGTCAAAATGCTAAGTGAAATATCTGGGCAGTGCTCCGTGACATAATTTCAAAAGCGAAATCTTCCAAAATGTATTAGGACATAAGGGGGCTTCTAACATATTGTAGTGTTGTACGGTATCACATGGTCGGCCCCGCACGACTATAGCCTTTGCTTACATGTTTTCAAAAACTATAAAGAATATTTGCAGAATATTTTTCAAAGACTATTAAAGCAAACTAATCGTAGATTTAATAATTTAAAATTATCCAGAGATTTTCAAATCAAACAATGTTGATTAGACTATTAGAGCAAATAATCGTGGAATGATGGATTTCTAGGAAACATTTTTCAAGGAATATCTGTGCAAGTAATCGGAATATAAAGGATATTTCAGAGACTATCAGAGCAAATAAACGTGATTTTTTCAAAATATATTTTTCGAAGGACTGTCGGAGCTGAGAAAGTGGATCATTTAAGAATATTTTCATGGACTTTCATAGCAAGAAAAAGATGTATTAAAAAATTAAGGTCTGATAGTCCTTAAAATTTGTGGATTTTAATGAGTATTTTTCAAGCACTATCAGAGCAAATAATAATGGGAGTTTAAAAATATTTATCAAGAACTTTATAGAACTGTATATAGCAAATAATTGTAGATTTTTAAAGAATATTTCTACTACGTGTGCACACACATATATATTTATTTAAAAAAAGTATACAAATAATATATAAATATATCAATACTAATTCACATTTTATTTCTTCGAAGACAACATTGCAATATATGTAATAATTTTATCCAACAGTTGACGATTGCCCAAAGTATTTGCCTTTTGTTGGATTACATATAAAGAATTGATGTCACGCTGTTCAAATGCAGCATCAACAGCTTCCTCATAGAGTCTAAAATAAAAGACAAAAAAAAAATAACAAATTCTTATATGAAATTACAAAAACTTACTCAGCTCTTATGTACCAATGGGTCTTGCGATCATCTCTACATTTAAGTATATATTTTCGGGCTTCAGTCAAATTGTTTTGCTTAAGACAAACTTCAACAAATGGTTCGTAACCAATGGGACTTTTTTTACTTTTAGCAAACTTTTCCAGTTCGTCCCATTTATATTTACTCGATAAATTTAAAATGCGCAGCCACCAAAATCTGAAATTTCGTTTTTATATTAATATGTCTTTGCACAATAATATACGAACAAAAAAATCATACCTTCTGTCGGGTACTTTGAAATCGTTTTTTATCTTTTCGGCTTCTTTGAACTCTCCCAAATCTAATAGTTTTTCAATTGTCTCATGTATGGATAAACCAAGGAATGTTACATTGCCATAAATACTGGAATATCTAAAAGAGAAAAGGAACATATAGGAAGAGGCATTTTCAAACGAAGACCTACAGATTACATGACGAATAATATTTCATATTAAACAATAAGTGCAATCATCTTTGATTAATTGAAGTTCAACATTGTATAATCGAACAACATGTTGCTTCTTAAATTTAATAATTTAATTTTTTTTTGAAAATTTCAGTATTCTTGCAGTTTCTAAAAATGCATAGTTCAAAAATAAAAACTTTCCTTTATCCTTTTTTATATTTTATTGGAAAATGGTTTAGATAAATAAATTTTGTTCGCATTTACTTACTTGTTATTTAATGTCTTTTGTAATTTCATAAGTTTGCTGGTGTCTGAACACAGTTCAGCTTCTATGTTACGTCTGCCCTGGGTGTAACTATTTGCAATTGTGGATAGATTCGATTCCAAACTTTTACTTTCTAAGGCATTACGAAAATGATATTCTGCTATAGATTTGTGATCATCTTCAGTATTGTAAATATCATATAAAGCTGTACGGCTCCATTCATTCATTATCTTTTTATAGATATTCAAAGCCATTGGATATTCACGTATTATCATCTAAGAAATATATACACATGTTTTTTTATTTTAAATTACTTTTCCAAAAATAGACAGCTTACATGGAAATTTGTCAACATCATTTTCTTTTTGATTTCCAGCAAAACTGTTGCCACCAATTCAGTATCTCCAGACTGTGTGGCACTTTGCACTGCCCGATTGTATTTACCTAATTTGAGTAGTAGAGGAACTTGCAGTGATGTGCGTGGTTCTAATTCGAGTAACTAAAATAAAAAAGAAAAATAAAATATTGTTTTGTTTAGTTCTGAAATATGTCCATACCTTTATGGCCAATTCATCACGTCCTGCTGCATGGGCTTTTTCTGCTATATTACAAAATGATATTCCCTCCACAGAGGGATTTTTAAATTTCTCGGTTATTTTACGTGCAACTTCAATGTCATCTGTAAATATTTTTAAGAATTATTATTAATATATTTTAAGATTAGTTTGGTAATGGTACTTACTTCTATCATTCATTACTTTGTGATAGGCCCAGTGCTCTAGAATCCAGGATTCTGGTAACTTCAAATGTTTCGCCACTTGAATGGCAATGGCATAATGTTTACGAAAAACTAAGCGTGCCAAAATGATTTCAGGTTTTAAATATAGAAATCTGCGAATTAAAGTGTTTGGCGGTTTAAAACTACGAATGACTTGGACGTATAAAAAGTATATTAGCCTATTTATTTTTGAAAATTTATATGATGTCTTAAAAGCTGCGAAGAATGCAAATACAAAATGTTTGCAAAGATGACAGATTTCCATTCTTTTTTTATTGTTGTCTAGTCGCACCTTTTGAAATTGCTATTGACCATTTAATTGCTTTCTTTCTTAAGATTTGTTTACAATTTGCTAATGTATGTGCCAAAATCTATTATCAACTAAATCGTGAAGTTTTTAAAAGGTTTGGGGATTGTAAGGAAGATTGAAATACAATCCAATTGGAAATAATGTAATAATTGAGAACAATTATAAATAAAGATATGTATAATTTGTGTATATATTATGAAGAAATATAGCAGACATGAAAGTGAATATTTCGAAATATTGGTAGCGATACAATTGTGATTTTTTCAGTGAAAATGCGGGTAATTTTGGTATGTATTGAGAAACAATTGCTGATATAATTATGGATATTCTGAAGGTGTTTTTGGCAATACAATAGTTAATATTAAAAATATCTTTGATTATATTATGGATTGTGGATTTTGATAAATATACCACAAGACCGTATCTGATCTGCTAAATCAAATTAAAATCTTCTCGAAATTAAATTCATGTGTAAGTTTAGTAAGTAAAGTCAAATAGTCTTGTTCTACTATTTAAATAAATATTTATCACACGCTAAATATTTATTACGCTAAGCTCAATTAATCAGCTTAATGAAAAGACAAATATTCATTCAAAGTTGGTTGGCAAGCCGTTTTCGAGATATTAACCCAAATTTTGATTTTCCTTGATTAAAAAAACTAAATTGACAAATGGTTTTGTACTGCTCCCCAAATACTCACTGCTTTATTGTCAATGGTACTGCAATGCGTGGATGTCTTAGTGCATTAAGAACGCGTAATGTTCTAAGCATTCTAATATACTCATCGGGGTTGTGAGCGGGAATAAATCCTTTTCCAAAGTACGCAGTCTATATGGAAATAAAACATAAATCAAATCCAAATAATGGTAATGACAACATACCCTCATTAAACTCTTTTGAGTTGCTGTACAAAATTCATAACCGGCTGCTTCAATGCACTCATCAACAGCTACATTCATACGATCACGGAATAAACTCAAATATTCATCTGCCTGGTGGGATTTATCCTGGTATTTCTTTTGGGCTTCAAACAAGAAGCTCGATGGTTCCTGGCTATTAATGGCAAATATGTTCTGTACACATTTCGGTAGTTTTTGTATCATTTCATGTGAAGTATTTGTCAGAATGCGTACACCGTCCATTTCGGCCACAAGAAATATGGCTGGATCATATGTGAAGAGATTCTTATCACCGTTCCTATTGACCACCAGTAAAAATGAAGGATAGGCAATAACAATTGCCTCCGACTGGTCATTATCAACATTCATGATCCATTCAATTTGTTTTGGTATATCTTTGCGACCCGTATCAAATTCGCAATATTTTTGTTTCATATCGATGCTGCCCATCCAGACAATACCATTGTTGGTGTATAGAGCTAGATTTTGATGATTATACGAGACGGACATTAATATGATACGTTCGAATGGTTTATCGAAAAGGTTGCGTATAACAGAGCCCACGGATTCGCCAGGGAATAATTTGATAACTTCACGTTCGCGCCCCAATAGGCAATAACTGTTGCGATCCTCGGTAACGATTTCCCAACAAGTGCAATCTGTAAGGGATTCTGAAATTGAAAAAAGGTGAATTAAAATGTGACTGAATTGTTGAAAATTAATCACTAACTTGGTATTTCTGGTAACAGTCTGGATCTAAAATCTTTGCTGCTGGTGTGCTTTAGAAATACTCTATGCTTTGTGGTCATAACGGCAATGCCTGTGCCAGCTGATGATTGGAAAATTTTCGCGTCCAATATTTTAGTTTCACTGGCCTCTTGGCCAATGCAATATGATTCCTTTTCATTACCAAACATGTCATAAATAAACACCAGGGCATCCTCCTGTACACATATTAATTCTTCGGTGTCGGACCAACCCATAGAAATGAGGCGACCATGATTCCACTAACAAAGACAAAATATTACTCAACAAATTTAAAAGTTCAATAATGCGATGTACCCATATCTTTCCCAACTCCTGTCCGGCAGTATCAAAGATACGTATGACTGGTTTGGCAGTTCCTTTAACCGGCACAATCTTATTGGGATCTCTTGTAACTGCAACAGGGCCACCATATGGAGCACAGGCAACTGACATATATTCCAAATCAAGATCTAGGGGCCATTCAGGTGGATATAAATCAAATTTTCTGCATAGAACAAATTAAGGAAATTGATTAAAAAAAACATAATAGGGGGTGTTTACCCATAAATTTGGATACATTTTGTGTTTCCAACTTACCTATATGTAGTCGGCCGTAGAACGAACCAGTCGCCGGTATTATACATTATAGGCATTTTCTAATATATTTTACTCCCAATTTAGCAATACAAATTAATTTTTTTTTCTGTAAAAATACAAAGAAATAAATCACAGTTGCCCATTCACAATATTACATGTTAGGTATTCACAATTGTACCATGAATGATAAAATAATATTATTACGAATGAGCAGATCAAAGCAAATATTTGTGTGTTTAGAATGGGATGGAAAGCAAATAAAAAGTCGAGTGTCAAACTGGTACACAATATGGCAACATGTCCAAGCAGCTATCGATAACATGTTTCATCGTATATTCCGATATGTTTATGTTTTGATTGAGTTTGGTTCGAATCTGAGTACACGTGCTGCTTAAATGGATTTTGCTCGTAAAATCCTTGAAAAATATGGCTGGAAGGACGGTGACGGCCTTGGAAAAACAAACAGCGGTATATCGAAAGCTTTGCGAGCCAATCTGAAATTCGATAAATCTGGTTTTGGAGTTGATCTTGCTGCCACGGATTTTAATAATCATTGGTGGGAAAGGGTCTTCAATGATGCTGCCAACAATGTCGACATCAAACAAGACGGGGAATCAATTACAGTGGATTTGAAAAACGAGGCAGATGGAGTAGAAATAACCACAAAGGGCTATTCTGTTAAAAAGCTAAAAAAAGCAAAGGGAAATTCTGAATCGTACAATAATTTCATACAGTCCGCCACTCTGACAAGTCGTGGTGCAGAAATCGAAAAAGACAATCGCCCAGAAGCCAGTGAAATTGAAATTCCCATGGTAAACGTTTTAACGGATGAGGAATTGTTTAAAGCTTGTGGTGGTAGAACTGCCCATAAAGGCGCCAGACATGGTCTGAAATTAAGTGGGAAATTGGCAAGAATAGAACAACAGGAAAAAGAGCTTTTAGCTAAAATGATGGCGGCCAAAAGCAGCAAGGTTGAGGAAGGATTTTCAACAGATGACAAGAAGAATAAAACACCTAAATTGGAGGTAACAAATGCTACAGATGATGAATTGCCAGAGAAACAAGAAAAGAAAAAGAAGAAACGTAAACAGAAAAATGAAAAAGAAAGTATGGATTTTGGCACGATAACAGAAGATACTCCACCCAAGCCCAAAAAGAAGAAAAAACATAAATTAGAAAACCCGGGAGAAGATATTGAAAATATCAGTGTATCTGCGGAACCTGAAGTTATCTCTTCAGAGAATCCCAAAAAGAGAAAGAAGCATAAGGAAGGCAGCGATGAAAATCCTACAGAAATTGAAGTGAAACACAAAAAGAAGAAGAAACACAAGGAAGTTGATGCCATCGAAGATACGGGCACTCTGGAATTACAGGCAGATAATATGTATAAAGCTGAAGAACAAGAAGATACTGAGATCTCTGCCGAAAAACTTGTTTCTAAAAAGAAAAAAAGTAAAAAGAAGTCGAAAATATGTGAAGAATAGTAAATAAATTAAAAATAAATCGTAGAAAATTGTTTAATATTAATTTGTTGGTGTATGTAACGAATTACATATTTCTGCATAGGCATTGATATGAAATTAAAGCAATCCACTAGTAGAGTAACAATTTTAGATAAAGCTCAATTTACGATAACAAAAAAAGTAATAATATTTCATAATTGGTATGCAATTTGAATTCTGATATATTAGCAAAAAGTCACTCTTGGGGCTTAAATATTGGCATTTGCAATGCAATGCAATGGAATTAAAAATAATAAAAAGCTCCTGTATTATATTGAATACAACCTACATTTATTTATAAAAATACATCTGCAATTATATATCCTTTATAATTATCAAAACTTATATCTATTTTTTACTTTTATTTTTCATGCGTCTGGATTTTCCCAAACGTTTGCTGCCTGGTGCAGCCTTTGAACCAACACGACGCCTAGGTACCTTTGTGTTCTCCAAACCTGCAGCAGACGCCTTTGTATTGCGCTTCATACCCTTCTTCTTGCCACCAAAACCGAATTTCTTATCACGTTGTTTCCGTTTCTCAGCTGTTTTCTTTGTTTTCGCCTCCAGTGCCTTGGCATCCTCAAGGAAGTCTAAATTCTTCAATTTGCCCTTACGGAACTTCTTCAACTTATCGAGCATGTCTTTCTTTTCCATTTCTCTTTGTACTTTCGTTTGTTTGGCCAATATTTTACCCATTTTACGTTGTTCTCTTATCTGTCTGATTCTTTCAGATTTCGCTTGTCCCTCCTGTTTGGCCATTAGATTTGCCCGAACCTTTTGCATGTGTTCATCTGATTTAGCCATTTCAGCGAAATAGTCATCAGGTCTTTTTGTTTTGATACCCAACTCATGTAGGCGGCGTATGCCTTCAATGACCGCGGCTTGAGCTTGACGATGAAATAACATTTCACGTTTGAAATCATTTAGCACGGGATCTTCTTCTGGACGTACATATGGAATTTTGGCATTGCCTTTAAACAAGTTTGCTCTTTTTTGCTCGTGTTTTTCCAAAGCAATAGCCATTTCAGGGGCGAGGGGTGCTAAATCGTTTATCATATCCATTCGTTCAACCCATGGCAAATCAAGTTTTATTTCGTCGGCCTTGGCAAGAAGTCCAGACTAAAATGAACACTTGTTATTACTTATTACTCCGTATATGCGATTTTACACAATACTTACGATGTTGTTAACTTTTTCTCTCTTTTGGTATTCAATATTTAGTCCAGGCTTCAAGTCACCACGAGCAAATGCCTCTTGCAACTGAAATAGATGACAGATTGTAGAGTAGCGCTGATATTAATCAAATTATTTTATATTTTACCTCTTCTTCGGATTCATCCTCTGAAGTGTATTCAGATTCAGAGCCCTGAATATCCAATTCAGTCATTTCTTTTAGTTAATATTGAGAACAATAAAAAAATAGTCCGAAACTCTAATTCTATTCAAAACACTAGATACACGTGCGTCCCGTTCTGCCTGTCAATTGCAATGTTTACCGAATGTTTATCTGTCATTCAACAATGAAACACAAGTAACATGGCCACACATAGAATTGGCTCAGTAGCGTTGCGTTTACACAAGAGAGTTTATATTAAAGAGAGTTGTAATTAACTGCCACATACATACTGACCCCATGGTAGAAGAATATAGGTAGATGCATCAACGCTTAAGAACATTGATATGTCAAAAATTGTTAAATGTTTCTTTAAAAATACGTAAATTTGTATATGTTTTCCTATACGACGCCAATCGGAGGTTATTATGATATGTATTTTCAATAAATTTTAACGAATTTGAATAATTTTTCATTCAAAATTTTCTATTTCAGCTGTGTCGATGCGACTACCAGTATTCATCTACCATGTACTGACCCCAATAATAACAAAGACAGCCTATAATAACAACGGTTGATATTTCAAACAAATTATGAAAGAAAATATAAAGATTTCCATTTTTGTTTTCAAAATTCTATACGTGGTTGTGTGCATTTTTTCTGAGTCTTACCGACTTCGGTTAGTATTTCCTCTGTTCCAGAACCTGCAAGCATCTACTATTTTTGCAATTTTTTTTTAGAAAAATTACGAAATGCCATTCTAATTTAGGTGTGCTCAAAAAATAAGGGAACGGAAAATTAGAAGAAATGCGATAACATGTCAATAAATTCCAAAAGAAAACAGTCTAAAACGGACTGGTGAAACCTTAAAAATGGACACCAAAATTTAAATAAAAATGAGTATTGAAAAAAAGTTAAAATAATAAGTTAAAATTAATAAAGGTGCCGGTCAAATTAATGTTAAATCTAGAAGACTTAATGCCACAAGTTGGGAAGACAGCCAACCTAAAAAATAAAAAGAAAATGTTCGCAGTAATAAGCAAACATCTTTGATTTTAAGCTTAATTTTTCAATTTTCTTGAAAAATATTGAAAAAATTAAACAACTTGTTTGTATGCGAAGCTGTTGTACCTCGTTATTGTACCACGGTTGCATCTAATTTTCCAAGTTTCTAGAATTTAGCGAAAGTAATACCTTACAGACAATAGACTTGGGAAAGAGAGAAAACAACATTTTCTTTCTTTTCACTCAGATGTTTCCTTCCTAATTTTAGCAAGTATATTCCTTAAATTTAGGAACTTTAATCAAAAAAATTAATTTTTCGTCGTTTTTAGTTTATTAAAATTTATTGATAATTCAATTAATAAAACGCCACTACCATTATCTTTAACAAAATGTTATCATTCTTTGAAACCTTCTATTAATTATGCCATGGTAAAATCAAAAAGGTAATGTCATTTCAAATAAGTATGTCCATCTCTGCATTTTCTGTTGTTTACCTTGTCCAATAACACTTTGGAGAAAATAGGTTGCCATCTCTGACAATGGATTTGTAAATAAACATTTTTATAATGATATGTTCTCAAAATAATTATTATGAAAAAAATGCAAACACATTGTATGACTTTACCTTCATAATTTTACAATGAATTATGCCAAGCTAACCTTAAATAAAGCACCAAATAAAAAATAAAAATTGTTGAAAAGCGCATATCATAAGAAAACTTATAAAAATCTACATATTTTTGAAAAAAAAAAAAAACATTTTAAAAATGTCCACATATCAATGTTCCTAAGCGTTAATGCATCTACCTGTATTCTTCTACCATGCCAATAATTGGAGACATGGCATATACTGCGTAAAGCGACACCTTGTGTGCATTTTCAAGACAGAACAATTATTATGTGGCAACCACAGCGTTGTGCCAAAAAGAAGGAATTTTTAAATACTGCAAGCCGCGGACTGAAATCAACAGACATCGTCCAAAAATGACTTCTGCATCGAATTTAGCGAATATATATGCAACATTGTTAAGGAAATATGATAATAATTACATGATCACTTATGCAGCCAGCCCATCGTATATCAACAATGTAATTGGTCCACATGAAAATGCTGGGAAGGTTGTGCTATTTTATATTGAGGTAAGACGTAAATGTTTATGGTAGTGTTGCGCCAACAATAACAAAAATACATTTCAAGGATCGTTCGAAAGCCAAACCTATGAACTTTATGTCTCCATCAAAATTAAAAATTGGCAAATCTCCAGATGACTTGGATTTGACGGGTAGTCCATTGAAAGATGACTGTGAAGTGGATGCCATTGCCGATATGTCGCTGGATTTGAATTTAATTGCCACAAATCCATGGAAAATGGAAGAAGAATATCATAAAGGCATACCGGTTGAGAAGGCAAGATCTATTATCTGTGGCTCTGAATTTCAACGTAGTCCCGCCGCAAAAGATGCCCACGGCTCAGTGTGGTTTCTTTGTTCTGGTGCAGATGCTGCGAAAACTCTGCTCTTGCAATACGAATTTTCACCACAGCATGCAGTTCGTGGCATTATAACTTACATGGGTGTTGTACCTTCGTACTGTGTTACAACCCAGAGTCTATTGCAACAACATTATTCCCTGATTGGTAAAGGATCAATGGTAAAAACTCATATTGAAAATACCTATCATGTGAAATCGAATATATCATTAAAGTGTTCATGGTCGACGGCTTCGATGGTACCATCACTTATTGATTTGAATACTTGTGAGGTAACATTGACACAAACCTATCGTTTGAGTGAATCGTCTTCTTCGACAGAGGTTTTCATAAATCAATTAAGAATTTTAACGACAATTCGTGATGATATTTTGTCGTACAAGCAAGCCGAAAGTGCTGACATTTCAAAGGATCCGATATACAGATGTGGCATGTAAGTAGTATTGTGTGATAATATATTTATGAGTTTATTATTTATGCCGACCTACACCTAGAAAACTGTGCTGTGTACTGCGTACAAATGTACACAAAATAGTGAGATAGTATGTCTTTAGTTTGCAAGTTATTGTTCACCGATTTAGTGTCTTCTTAATCCATATTCTTTGCCCTGTTTTAATAATTAAAGAAAATATCTGCTTCGTAGATTTTCTGCAATCGTTTTTCCATACTCATACTGCTTTCAAAGTTCTTAATGATTGGATTATTTCCTCAATAAGTCATTAGCTGGTTTATAAATCACAATCCCATAGCTTTTAGTAGCCAACAATTTATTATAGAAATCATTAAATCATTTTGTCATAGGAGATAATATAAATCTAGAAAAAATATAATCCTTCAGTTTCGCTTCAAGGATTTTGAATAAAAAGATAAATAAATTTTGCAAATGGGAGAGCGAATGAAACAACCCCATTCATTTGGAATTACGTTTTTCCTCGCTTTTTATATATTTTAGAGGCATCGAAATGGGCGAACTGCGTGAAAATATCAACAAAGTTATGACCGAAATATCGGAAATTGATTCTAACAGTGGAGCCGAACGTGATATTGAAGATGTCATACAAAGTGCCAAAACAAGACGCTTATCAGATCTAACTGACAAGTTATGGGATATTTTAAAAAGTAAATAACATGAAATTTTTTGTGCTTCTATTAATTTGATTTTTTTTAAATAGGATGCTCTTCCTACAAAGATTTAAAAATGGCATTCAATATTTTATTTCAATGTGCTGCCCGTTGTAATATTGTGGTAAGTTGTGAGTGAAGGCTATTTTTGAGTTTCATTTTTAAAATTCAATTTTTTTATTTATTCATTATTTTTTTAAGAATACACCAACAAATAAAAACCGCTTGGCTGAAATTATAACCGAAGTTGCCAATCGCCGTTTGGCCATACCATGTCTTTCGGGGTCTGAGCCATTGGAGCTGCTATTGGAAATTGGGTTGGAAAAATTATATAAAGATTATGAATACATATTCGTGGAGAGTAAAATATGCAGTGCCAATGATTTGAAAAATAAAGGGTAAACATTTTATTCCTATATATTTCCAAGGTTATTATAAAAATATGTTTTACAGCGCTGCCCAAGAGAATAAGGAAAACTCATCTGCCGTACCAAATGTTCGAAAATCTTTACGCAATGCTGTATTGCAGGACAGTGCTGCTATGCGTAAAACCCTGCTCCACAACGATGTCAAAAGCAATGTAAACATCATGAAAAATGATGTGATAGGTTTTAAGAATAGTAATTTTGATGAAAACGAAACAGCTAAGATACTTTCAAAATTACTACAAATCCATTGTACATTAGAACATTTACTAATGATTCACATCCACTTGAACATAAGCAGCGTTTACTATGAAGTGTGCGATCAGCTTTTACGTAAACCACCACGAATTATTGATTCAATAAATGATTCGTTGGTAGATGAAATGGAAATTCAATTGTCGGCTCACTATATTCGTGAACATTTAGAGGGTAAAGATCCACATTCTCGGAGAATTACAATGAAATCGAAAAATAAGTTACGCGAAGTCAAGTCTACGTTCTACTACAACATGGAGAATATTTTCCCGCCCAATATTTCCGAGTGTTTTGGGGCCGAAGATAAGGAGTATAGTAAAGAAAATGTCTACTATAGTTGGTTATATCGCAAAATTACCACAATTAAAATGTAATATTTTATTTATTTTACTCTTTTTTTTAATTCTATGTTATAGATTTGCAAATAAGTTTTTTAATTCGCGAACAATCTGTCTATATTTTTACCATTTTTTGCATGTTAAAATTGAAATAAAAATAAACAAATTATTTAAAAAAAAAACAAAACTTGACAGAATTTTCAAAATATAATCAATTTAAAAAGTTATACAAGGCCAAGTCTTGGCTCTACTACAACATGTAGAATATGTTCCCTAGTGTTTTTTTTTTTTTTTTTTTTTTTTTTTTTTTTTGGCCGTAGACAAGGAATGTAACAAGGAAAATGTATATTTGTCTTTGAATCTTGCTTTTCTAAATGTGTATAAAAAAAAAAATAATAAAGAAACAGTCTATAAATATAATTTTATATATCTTTAAATAACAATATTGAAAATCGTCATAACTTACAAGTAACAATTTTTGTGACGAACATCTAATTATGATTATCCTTGCCCATGACCCATACTAAAGGTTTTTTTTTCAGCCCCAAGAACAAAATTTGCATGTCTGTAAGAAGTAGAAACAATTTGTTTTCCATCTATAATACCCATTTAATACCAAATAGATTCGTTATCGTTATTAATGTTTTAACGAAGACTTACAATAATGTTTTCTGTTTGTCATGGGTAACCTTTAAGCGCATGGACTTAAATTTAACGTTATTCGTCTAGACATGCCTATCCACAATCTGAACAAATGTTCTTGTGTGGACATGGGTAGAAATACGCAAAAAACGAGGAAATACAAACAAACGTGCTTGCGAAGGCAATTAGTCAGACAACGAGGCTTTTCCAACATTGGTTCATTTGAAGGGCTACATGTGTACTTTGGATTACTTAGAATTACAAGCAATTGCCATTAAAATAAACTTTAATTTGAAACAAATTTCTTAAAAAAAATTCGTTGGTTAGGAAAGATCTTAAGGTCTCCTATAGAAGAGATTTAGTAAATTTCTATATAAAGATTATCTTTAGAAGACCTTCTTTAAGAGACCTTTTACCCATAAAAAAATTCTACTGGAATGTTGAAGGAAATATATAGGTAGGAAATAATTAGAAAATTTTTATATATATAGAAAATTTTGAAAATACTAAGATCAGATGAATTGAATATAAAAGTTATATTTGTTAAGAGACTTACGTAAGGTCTTATGTCTTCAGAAGACTTTTTTAAATTCTACCAAGAATTCGCCTATTTTCTATATTTACTCTAAATAAATCAGGGATACAAATACAAACACTCAATTGAACCATTGCATTCTATAAAGGCCAATAATGCTGTTAAACTTTTAAATAAGTGGGTGAGCCCATATAACGGTACCATACCAAAACGGGAACCTCTATAGACAATAGAGTTTTATGCTGATCATGAATACAGGATGAGATAAAAAAACTGCAACAAAGTCAAACGCAATAATTTTTACATTTTTTTTTTTTAATTTTTTTGAATGAAAGCAAAAAATTTCGAAAATAGCATAAAATTTTAGAATAACTTAAGATTTGTTCGAATCGGTCATCTTTGACATTAATTATGGCCTTCAAACGGCCAATGAAACCGTTACACGCTGCCTGAATGTTGCTCTGCGGTATTTTGGCCCATTCCGGCGAAGCGCTTGCTTGAGATAATCATTTTTGTATTTTAGTGCCAACCTTGCTTTCCAAAATACTCCAGACACAATAGTCCAACGGGTTGGTATCCGGAGATTTTGGTGGCCATTGTACGCTGGAAATGAAGCGAGGAACCTGAGTTTGTATTCATTCTTGGGTGGCGCTTGCTGAGTGCGATGGTGCTGAGTCCTGTTGGAATGTCCAAGATCTGCGGCCCAAATATTTGCGTGTCCAAGGCTTTAATACACCCTCCAGCATATTTTCGCTATAATATTCGGCGTTTATTCTGATGCCGCGGTCGAATGGATACAAAGTCAGGTTCATCGCTTCATTTCCAGCGCAGAGCGCAGGAGAGCAATCATCAGCTGTTATGGCGGTCCACACCATTACCATGGCCGGCTCTTGAGTTCTGAGTTTACAGCTGACCCCTTTGGCAAGTAAACACGATCATTTTGTTGGTTTATAAACTGCTGGACAACGAATGTTTTCTCATCGGATAAGACCAAATTCGGTAGTTAACTACTTTCGGCCAAGCAAAGCAACTCTTTAGCTCTTTTGAGCTTACTTTCTTTCTGTTGCGGTGTAAGTTCTTGCACTTTTTGGAATTTCAATGGCTTTACCCTGAGCTCATTTTTCAATATTTGCCGAATGGAATTTTGCGATGTGTTCAGCTTACGAGCCATTTTACGGTCACGGCGACGCAGGATTGTAGGTCCGCAGAATTTCTGTTATTGAAAGATTACTATATTTTTTAGAGTTATCTCCAAGTTGGTATTTGGAGTTTATAATACCCACCACCCACGCTGGCAGATAATTGTTTATAGAGGGGGTCCACGTTTTCTTGTTCCCCCGTCTAACTGCAACACATGATATTCAGATTTGTTTTAAATTTTAGAGGCATTTTTCAACGGATTTTTTTTTAAGTTTCTTCCAAATAGTGGCACGGCCGACACGGCCGAACATACATAGTTGCTTTTTTACTTGTTTTTTTTTTTTTTTTAATTTTCAATGATTTCAAGATCTTAGTAATGTAATTTTCATGAGGATATTATAGTAACTTTAAGCTGATTCGTTTTATATTTTCATGCTTCTCTTTTCAAAACAATGTTTTGGGACATGCGTATTTCAATCCAAGAGAAAAATTAAAAAAAAAAAAAAACAAAAGACATGCGCTTATTTGGGCTCTCTCTCTGCCGACATGTCTGTCTAGGTTGCTGGAAAGGTTAGTAAACTTTGACGTTAAATCTAAAACGGAAATGGCAAAATTTGAAATGAAAACACAGCTACAAATATTTGAGGAAGAACTAGTCTAATTTCGAACGCCTAGTTCAATGAAATGTGGTACAATCCAATTAGTGGTAACGGTAAAAATACATCTTGGTTTATTTGAGTTCAAATTTGCGAAAAATTTTCCTCAGAAACACCTTACATGTGCTAAGGTTCGGACGTGCCTTGGCACAGTAGCGGGAAATATAAATAAAAAACCGTTGAAAAACAGAAACCGTTAACAAAAAATAAACTGCAAAAGGAAAGATTCAATTTGAAATAAATATATCCTGTAAAGGATATATTTAAACCAATTCAAAGGACTTTTCGAAGGATAATAAAGGATATACGATAAAAAATAAAAAAAAAATTTGGTGGATAATAATACAAAACATTTTGAAACAGATTTTTTATGTAGTAATTAAGAATAATTTAATCCAATTAATAAAATGGTGTGTATGATTTTTTGTTTAATTATTTTTATGAAATATTTTTTTTTTGGGAAATAAGATAATAACTGATATATGACAAATATAAAAATAAAAAAAAAATATTGTTTCAAAATAAGTTCAAATAAAAAAGTGTGTTGAAATCCCACAAGTGCTACTTTAAATCAATCAACTATTAGTTTCACTTGGAAAAACTTCGTAACATTTGTTAAATAGATTTGCGAAAATTGTTAAGAATATATGTTTTTAGCACTCACTACTTGTATGGTTTCCCCAAACATAATACTGTGTTAATTTGCATTGGCAAATGTATGTATGTGCATATGTTTTGTATATTGTGAAATGCATGTGCAAATCTGCAAACCAGATTATATTACCATTGTGAAGCCAAAGGATTTAGGAAATGAGGATTAAGCCTATTAGTGTTGTTGCTGGTGCTGGTGTGAGGAAAAGTACAAAGTACTAATTGGAAAAGAGTGTGTTTTTCTTAGATGTTGCAAAGTGTTGTGTATATTTAAGAAAATAAGGAACATATATGGACTTTTGGGAAAACATATGTGTTAAATACATTTGTATTTATGTTTGTAAAATATAAAATTTACTCTAAAAGGAAAGAAGGATAATGCTGAAAGTGGACTGATTTAAACATCTGTGTTAAATATACAGTTATGTTTATGATTGTAAGCAATATGAACATAAAAATGATCAATACAGAAAAAATTATAATGCTGAAAACTTCGGGTCAGAAATATACGATGTACAAACATTTGTCCTTAGATGCAAATATTTAAAGATGTGAAAAGTAAAAAAAATAATTACTAAATTAAATAGAGCAAAGCGGCTCATATACACATTAAAACAATCTTTAATAATTATGTATTGGACTTAATTTGAGCCTAAATTTGAAAAAAGAAAATATGTGGGTCTTTACAAAAAAAAAAAAAAAAAAAGGATAAATGGGTTGCAGAAATATAATATTCAATATAAATAAGTAAAATATCAGTAAGTTCAACTGGGCAGAACTTTGAATATCTTCTACCATTTGGAACGAATTTAGCAATTTTCAAAAAAAAAAAATAAATAAAATAAATAAATAAATAAATAAAATAAAATCCGTTAAAAATTATGTTAAAATCTAAAAAAATACCGAATGTAGCCCTTATATTAAAGTCTATACGACGACATGGACCTGCATAGACAAATTTTGACATAAGCCATTACAAAAATTCAAATGAATAATGTAGCTAAAATCATCAAAATACCGAATATTAGGCGGTACCATTATATGGGGCCTATACCAAAACGTGGACCTGCACACGCTGTAATAGGCTATAGTATCCATTACGAACTTCAAATACCAAATTTGAAACAATTCCGGTGAATAATGTCGCTAAAATCATCAAGATATCGAATATCGGAAGGTGCCGTTATATGGGGGCTATACGAAGGTGTGGACCTGCGCAGACAATTTTCTGTCAAAGGCTGTATTATCCATTACGGACTAAGTCTAAAACACTTCCCGTGAATAATGTCGCTTAAATCACGAAAATACCGAAAACAGGGAGGTATCATTGTATGGGAGGCTATATCAAAACGTGCACTTACATGAACTGCACGAAAATGAAAAGTCCTGCAGAAATAATATACATTTGAATAAAATTTTATCAACCTACTTCATTTCATTCGGAAACTAGAGTGATTTCCACAGAGGGACGGACATCGCTAAATCGACATAGAATTTTATATATATGTAGACTTTGTGGGGTCTAAAATGTATATTTCGAGGTGTTACAAACGGAATGACAAACTTAATATACCCTCCATGCTATGGTAGAGGGTATAAAAAGGTAGCTAAATATTCGAACATTTCCTACTTAAAACTACAAATACTAGTGAGATCGGTTTTCAAAATACCAAATAAATGTGGACCAATAAGACAATGTTGTGATCCATTACAATCTTTAAATAAAAAAATTGAAACTATTTCGTGAAAAAAATGTGGGTAAAATGATCCAAATATTGAATATCTGGAGGTACGTTTATATGGTGGATATAAGAGCTGGAATCCATTATGAACTAAAAATATCAATTAGACAAATCCGTCTTCCGAACGTACCGTTATATGAGGACATAATACACATTATTTTGTCAACACTCTGAGTCAAATAAAGTAGGATGTATCTTTATCTCAACAGACAGACGAGCATCCTTAAATCGACTTTGAATTTCATGCTGATCATGAATATATATACATGATGAAGTATTTGACGAATATTTAGAGGTGGCATGGTAGAATTATAGAAGTAAATTCATGCAAGCATACATATGTTTACAATTCTTCTTCAAAATGATTCATTTGACAACATCTCATTGTCAAAAAGTATATTTAACAAGTAACGGGCCGAACTTTGAATGCCCTCCAAAAACAATAAAACTCAAACAATAAAACTCTCAAAAACAATAAAATCCGTTAAAATCTTAGAAATACCGAATGTAGCCGTTATATTAGGGCCAATACGACGACAATACGACGATATTCAAATGCGAAAATTAGAAAAAACAAGTAAAAAAGCTGTAAGTTCATCAAAATTCCGAATACAGGGGGTACCGTTATATGGGGGCTATACGAAGACGTGGACCTGCACAAATAATTTTCTGGCATGGGCTAAAGTATTGGAATTGTTTCAAATTTGGTATTTGAAGTTCGTAATGGTACAGCATATGATAGAAAATGGGCCATGTACGTCCACGTCTTCGTATAGACCCCATATAACGGTTCCCCCCGATATTCGGTATTTTGATGATTTAGGACATTATTTACCGGAACTATTTTAAATTTAGTATTTGAAGTTCGTAATGAATACTACAGCCTGTGACAGAAAATTTTCTGTACAGGTCCACGTCTTCGCATATTTTCCGTATTTTGATTATTTTACCGACATTATTTTCCGGAAGTATCTTAAATTTAGTATATTTATATTTAGTACCCACTGATATTCGGTGTTTTGATAATTTTAGCTACATTATTTACCGGAATTATTTCAAATTTTATATTTGAAGTTCGTAATGGATACTACAGCCTATACCAGAAAATTGTCTGTGCAGGCTTATGACAAAAGTTGCGTATGCAGGTCCACGTCGTCGTATAGACCCTAATATACAATAACCGATTTTCCCTTCATGATATCGAAGAAAATTGCAAAACTAGCAATAATTGGAACAGAGCAATAATTGACAGAAGACAATTATAACCAGCTGGTAGCTTTATCTAACCTTTTTATTGTACTGTGGTATATACCATAAAAACTACTAATTTTATTTTACAAAACACTTTCGTTATTTTCGACAAATGTGGGACTTCTTCCGATTTCACTCCTTTTTTTTTAAATTTCACAGTGCAGCAGTCCTGATAGTCTTCAATCTATACAGGGTGAAATAAAAAAACTCCAAAAACGACAAATGCCATAATTTTCACATATTTTTTTTAAATTTTATTGAATGAAATCAAAAAATGTCGAAAATAGCATCAAATTTTAGAATACGTTTAGATTTGTTCAAATTGGTCACCTTTGGCACGAATTATGGTTTTCAAACGGCCAATGAAACCGTCACACGCTTCCCGAAAGTTGCTCTGCGGTATTTTGGCCCATTCCCGGCGAAGCGCTTGCTTGAGGTGATCGACACTTTGGTATTTTTTAGTGACAACCTTGCTTTCTAAAATACCCCAGACACTATACTCCAACGGATTGGTATCCGGAGATTTTGGTTGCCATTGTGCGCTGGAAATGAAGCGAGGAACCTCATTTTGTAACCATTCTTAGGTGGCGCGTGCTGAGTCCTGTTGTAATGTCCAAGGTCTACGGCCAAAATGTTTGCGTGTCCAAGGCTTTAATACACTCTCCAGAATATTTCGCGATAATATTAGGCATTTATTCTGATTCATTTTTTGATTTCATTCAATAAAATTAAAAAAATGTAAAATTTATGACTTTTGACTTAGTTGCAGTTTTTTTTATCTCACCCTGTATACATTTGACAACATCTCATTGTCAAAATCTATATTGATAAATCTATTGTATTCATACAAAATCGAAGATGGGAACTGTTTTTATGCATTGAAATTTAACAACCTAAATTACAGAAAATGCAGAGCTGGGAGTGGTAATTTGAAATTAGGTTACCTTTATTTCATTGTATCATGGATTGGCGATTGATTTTAATTTGTTCCAATTACTTTTTAGTATTTTCATTTAACTTTACCATAATCTCTATTCTTTTCCGTTTTAGGAATTCTTTTTTAAATTTGGTTACGTGTTTTTGATTGTAACCCTATTAATAATGATATGGATGTCCCTGGCACGGGGTCTGCATTATAACAATCGTGAATTGGAGGATATGCGTTATCCGCCATGTGCCTACAACGCACTTTGTACGTGTTCGAAGTCATCACCAGATCTGGGGATTGTATATTGCAAAAATGTGCCCTTCCCCGCACTGCCACGAATGGTGAATCAATCGAAGGTAAGAAAATTGACCTGTGAGCCTTAAGTCTCTTTCTATGAATATTTGAAATGAAAACTTTTATAAAGAAGGAAACAATGCCAAATAGGAAACAATTATGATGGAAATAGACTTCTAATTATTGAGTTTAGGATCATATCTGTGATTTTATTCATTTCTTTTTCGAGACGAGCTTAATGTTCTGAATAAAGGAAAGCCAGAGTGACACTTTTACACACACCACTCTGCGTTGCGCTTCACCCTTGATCAAACGTTGTATTCAATAGTTTTCATTTCACATTTCTATAGAAATACAAAAATTACACTTGATTTTGCAGGTTTTCATGCTGCACATGGAAAATACGGGGTTACGAGAAATCGAACCATATTTTCTGCAGTCAACAGGTATGAGAAACTGGCTAGAAGCAATGTCCTTCAATTGTCTCATTTTCCTTTACTACTTTCTCACAGGCATGTACCGTTTGAAAATATCGGGGAATCATTTAACCGAAGTACCAGACGATGCGTTTACCGGCCTGGAGCGCTCACTGTGGGAACTAATACTGCCACAAAATGATCTGGTGGAAATCCCATCAAAATCATTTAGACACTTACAAAAACTACGTCATTTAGATTTGAGTCATAATCACATAACACACATCCAACAGGATTCATTTCGTGGTCTAGAGGATTCGTTGCAAACACTCCTGTTGGGCGACAATTGTATATCAACTCTGCAGCCGCATAGTTTTTCGGGGCTGCTGATATTGGAAACATTGGATTTGAGTGGCAACAATTTGTTTGAAATTGATCCTAATGTCTTTGTGGATGGTATGCCGAGGTTAATGAAACTTTTACTAACGGATAACATACTCTCCGAGATACCCTATGATGCATTGGGTCCATTGAAAAGTTTACGTACCCTAGACATATCACACAATGTGATATGGTCTTTGAGCGGCAACGAAACGTACGAAATAAAGGCCAACGCAAAGCTTAATTTGGACAATTTGCATTTGGAATATAATAATATCAGTATGTTGCCACCAAATTCATTTAAATATTTCGAAATTGTTAATCGAACGTTTTTGGATGGTAATCCAATACATACGATGATGGTGAGTAGTCTTTTGAAAATCTGTTTTTTTATTGTCTCTTTCAATAGCATCATTATTTGGATTTTTTAAAAGTGAAAACTATTTTATTTGTAAAAAAGTGTGTTTATAAAATTTCTTCATTTCTGTTCTTGTCGTTTCTTAAAAATATATTAAATTTAGGATGATGCTTTCAAACCGGCCAAAATTCGGGAAATTTATATGCGTTATTGTGGTTTGACGGAAATTTCACCCATGGCATTCGACAGCTTAACGAGCAGCTTACAAATTTTGGATCTTTCGGGGAATAATTTGACACATTTACATCACAAACTATTCAATAAGTTTGACGTGTTGAGGTAAGCATATAATAAAAATAGCAAGTTTTCATTATTTTGGTGTAGTCAAGCAATATCTTTTCCATTGTGTGACCCTATGTGCACATAAATCGATATTCGTCATAAGGTATATATATTCAATGTCAGCATTAAATTCTATGTCTATTTAACGATGTCTGTCTGTCTGTTGAAATCACAATACAACCCACATTGAGCTTTTTTGGCACAAAAGTTTGTATTGTGTCTAGGATGGTTGGTATGGAAAATGATATATATCGATCCACGTTTTGGTATGGCCCCCACATAACGGTACCTCCCGATATTCGGAATTTTGATGATTTTCGCCACATTTTTCACGGATATATCTAAAAAAATGGTATTCGTAGTTCGTAATGGGTTTCGGCTCCGGTGGTGGAACATTGTACATATAGGTGGTCCATGTTTTCGTATGGCCCCTATATAACGATACTTTCCGATATTCGGTATTTTGATGATTTTAGCGACATTATTAACTGAAACTGTTTCAAATACAGCCTATAACAAAAAATCGCGTGTGCGGATTCAAGTCTGAGTATAGCCTCCTATATTCGGTATTTCAATGATACCATCCAATCCTCGGTATTTTGATGATTTTAGCGGCGTTGTTCCCCAGGATTGTTTCAAAATTTTGTTATTGAAGTTCGTAATGGGTACTAAAACCCACGACAAATAATTACCTATAAAGGAACACGTGTTTATATAGCCCCCATATAAAGGGTTTAATTTGAGAGGTATTTTTTTCACGATTTTTATACCCTCCACCTTGAAAAGGAGGGTATATTAACTTTGTCATTCCGTTTGTAACACCCTTAAATATTCGTTGTGGACCCTATAAATTATATATATTCATAATCAGCATAAAATTCTAAGTCGATTTAACGATGTCCGTCTGTCTTTATGTTGAAATCAAAATCAAAATTTAGCAGAGCAATTTGTATTGTGTCTAGGATGGTTGGTATTGAAAATGAGATATATCGGTCCACGTTTTGGTATAGTCCCCATATAACGGTACCTCCCGATATTCGTTATTTTGATGATTTATGCCACATTTTTTTACGGATTTGTCTGAAAATTGGTATCTGTAGGTCATAACGGATCCCTGTGCGTGTGACAAAACATTGCATGTATAGGTCCACGTTTTGGTATAGCCCCCATATAAAGGTACCTCTCGATATTCGGTATTTAAATTTTTTTTGCCACATTTCTTCACGGATCTGTCTAAAAATTGGTATTTGTTGGTCATAATGGGTTCCACCTCCGGTGGCGAAACATTGCATGTATGGGTCCATGATTTGGTATAGCCCCCATATAACAGTACCTCCCGATATTCGGCATTTGAATGGTTTTTGCCACATTTCTTCTAATGTTTCCTTTACCCGAAGGTGGAGTATATTAAAAGGTTGACCCGGCCGTACTTAATGTTTTTTTACTTGTTCTTTTAAAATGGTAAGTGTTTTCAAATGGATTTTTAATGCATGGCAGTCCGTTTGCCTGTCCGTCCGTCTGTCCATGTATCTCTGTGAACCAAATCCAGGTCGCATTTATTATACGATTGAGATGAAATTTTCCAAACAATATTGGTTTGGCTCAAGGACCATTGAAATTGGTAAGAATCGGTTCACATTTAGATATAGCTCCCATATATATCATCAACCGATTTTGTGTTAATTGTGTATTAAATGACCTGAATTTTGACATATCCGACCGAATTAAGTCTAAAAGCAAGTACGTCAAATTTGGTGAAAATCGGTTCAGATATAGCTATAGCTCCCATATATACGTTTCATCCGATTTGGGGTTTCAAGTCCCTCACATGCGTAATATGCACTCCACAACAATTATCGTTGGTACCAGGTATCAGATACAGCTCAGAAATAAGTGACCAAAATTTTGTCAAGACCGGTTTTGATTTGGATATAACTTCCATATATTTCCGATTCCTCCATACATATACTCCTTTAATCGATTTCAGGATTATTGTGCACCATATGGCTAATATCATAATGAACTGAATTTTTGCACTTCCAACAGAATTCAACCCAGAGACAAGTATCTGAAATATTGGCGAAAATCAGTTCAGATATATCTATAGCTCCCATACAGGGTGAAATAAAAAAATGCAACAAAGTCAAACGCCATAATTTATTTTTTTTTTAATTTTATTGAATGAAAGCTAAAAATGTCGGAAATAGCATCAAATTTTAGAATAAGTTTAGATTTGTTCGAAATGGTCACCTTTGGCACGAATTATGGCCTTCGAAAGGCCAATGAAACCGTCACACGCTGTCCGAATGTTGCTCTGCGGTATTTTGGCCCATTTCCGGCGAAGCGTATGCTTGAGATGATCGACAAAGGAAAATCAACATCTGCCACAATTAAAGAAATGCATCATGTATTGCAACAGCACAGATACGAGTAAAATCGACGCAAAACGAATACATCACCTTGAGAGCCTTAATCGATCCTTGTGCTCAGGCGTCTTCAATCAGCGTGGAAGCCGTACAGATATTGCAGTTGCCAAAGCAAAGAACAGATGTAACACTGCATGGACTTGGAGGAGCAGTCGTCGGTAAAGCAACATCGAAAGTTATTATCGAAGTGAAACCCAGATTTTTAAGCGATTTCGCTGTGAATATAGAGGCAGTCGTACTTCCTGAGTTGGCTTCAGTTCAGCGGGATCCAACGTGTGAATACGATATAGATAAATGGAAAAATTTTACGCTAGCAGATCCGGACTTTACGTCGTCAGATAGAATCGACGTGCTGATTGGAAGCGATGTCTACCACGAAATCCTTCAAGATGGTATTCACAAAAAAGATAGTATATTGGCGCAGAGGACGAAGATAGGATGGATACTGTCGGGGCCGACTACGGAAAAAAAAGGGAAGCAGCAAGAAAATTGTAGCTACTACTACTCTGGAAAAATTTTGGGAGATAGAGGAGGTGAGCGACAATCAAGCAGTGACAGAGGATGACTTTTGTATGTCAAATTATGGCTCAACAACATCGTTAGCGAGTGATGGCCGGTTTATGGTCAGACTTCCCTTCAGGGAAGACGTTGAATTAGGAGATTCACGTAAAAGAGCTATGGCAAGATTTTTGAACATTGAAAAAAAATTATGCGCCAACCCTGAACTAAAAATGGAATACCAACAGTTTATGGAAGAATATATTAGTATGGGGCATATTAAACGAGCTGCGGAAATGTTTTTAGTAACAATTTTTTTTTGGCATTTGTTAGTTCCAACCTTGCTTGTGCGTTGGAAATGAAGCGAGAAACCTCATTTTGTAACCATTCTTGAATGGCGCGTGCTGAATGCGATGGTCCTGTTGGAATGTCCAAGGTCTGCGGCCAAAATGTTTGCGTGTCCAAGGCTTTAATTTCAAACTCCAGAATTTATTCAGATGTAACGGTCGATTAATACGAGCGGAGAGCGACCATCGGCTGTTATGACGGCCCACACCATCACCATGGCCGGCGCTTGAGTTCTGGTGGCCAACCGAAGGTGCGAATTTCAGCTGACCTCTTTGGCAAGTAAACACGATCATTTCGTTTGTTTAGAAACTGCTGGAAAACGAATGTTTTTCCCATCAGAGAACACTGAATTCGGCAGTTCACCACTTTCGGCCAAGCGAAGCAACTCTTTAGCTTTTTTGGAGTCTATTTTCTTTCTGTTGCGGTGTAAGTAGTTGCAATTTTTGGAATTTCAATGGCTTTACCCCGAGCTCATTTTTCAATATTTGCTGAATGAAATATTGAGATATGTTCAGCTCACGAGAAATTTTTCGGACACTGCGACGCAGGCCTCAAGTCGCTTCTTTACTTTTCGAACCATTTCTGCTGATGTTGCTGTTTTCTTCCGTCCACTTCCTTGACGTTGGTCTACGCTACGAGTATCACGGTCACAAGCGATGGTACGAGACACAAAATATTTATTCACATTTAAATGCTGGAGTGCTCTAACGATAGCCACTTGTGGCTTTCCAACCATATATAAAGAAATCACACTATCACGTTTTAATTCCATCACGAATAACATTTTTTCTGGAGCATTCTCACCAAAATGCTTTTGTACACTTTTTAACAATATAATGAGCTGTCACTGGAATAATTTCAAAAGCTGTCGGACGAGTGGCTTAGAAATGGCATCAGTCCGAAGTTGATTGCAGTTTTTTCATCTCACCCTGTGTGTTTCCATTATGTAAGAAACGTCCTTGCATAAAACTGTCAATATAGGACTAAATTTAGGTACCTCCAGATATTCGGCATTTTGAAGATTTGTGTCACGCTATTCAACGGAAAAATTTGAAATTTGGTATTTGAAAGGGTATTCAAAGTTCGGCACGGCAGTTTTTACTTGGTTTACTTGCGAATTTCCATCTGTACAAAGTCCTTAATTCTATTTAAATTCTTTAAGAGCCCCTGCAATATCCCATGCCTACATTTCTACAGGTCTTGTTCATAATTGAAATTAACAAAGAATACATCCACTTAAAAGATTATTGAACTACAGCAGAGGATTTGAAGACCGGCCACGTTACCATTTTGTTGTAACATTCAATAAACAGGTGAAAAAATCAGCAAAAATAAGTCTAGTGTTTTTCGTGGCAGCTAGTGTGTGTAAATGTGTACGAGTATGTGTTTCAAATCCACACTCTGAAATGTTTTTTTATTTGCAAATTCGTACATTGGCCCGTGACTGCATCCATCCACTTGGAGGTTGCTTTATTTCTATTGCCTTTGTCTTTTAAGCCGATTTCGTCACTTAGCCATTTAGAGACATCGTATGTTCGAGGGTATATTGATGAGAAAACGTGAACGCCAGTCACCACCAGCTACATGCACACCTAAATATAATAAACATGCAGTAAATAACAATCTTGTTTCCACACCATAATTATGATACCGGTTGCACTGTTGAATATTGTCCTATCGCCGTCGCAACCATTACCAATTCAATCACGTTTTCTAATTGTTGCTAAGAAGCCATACTTCTGTGCTTCTTGTTGTGGACCTAGAATTGAACATTAGCACATTGACTAGAATGTTTAAATTAAATTTTCGCCGGGTATTGAGACTAATTTAAATGAATAGATAATTAGTGTAACTGGGTTGGATTAGTTAATAATGTACATACTCATGTAAATGACATAGAATATGAGCTCATTAACTTCGAAATGGCAAAATTTTAGAAGTTTTATAATATATGTTTAAAATGACTTAAAAACACTGTAAAATTGACATTGAAATCTCAATATCTCTGTATGTGTGACTATGATCAACTTCTAATCAAAATGACTAAAGTTTAGTTAGTGATTCCAAGCAGGAAGATGAATGGATGGAAAGATAGAGAAAGACACGAGAGGTGCAATCTTCAGTAAGCAACTGGGAATAGCCTACTCCTACAAGTTGCAAGGAAAGCGATCATGAAAGGGGTGGAATTGACTAAAACTATGAAGAATGGAATAACTGAACAGGTGACTAATTACGGGGTGAGATGAAGAAACTGCAACCATCCTCAGACTGCTGTAATTTCTAAGCCACTCGTCCTGCTGTTAAAATTATTCCAGTGATAGGTCATTATATTGTTTAAAAGCATACAAAAGCATTTTGGTGAGAATTTTCTAGAAAAAAGTTGTTCGTGATGGAATTCTAGCGTGATATTGTGATTTCTTTATATTTGGCTAGAAAACCACAAGTGGCTATCGTTAGAGCACTCCAGCATTTAAATGTGAATAAATCTTTCTCGTACCATCGCTCGTTACCGTGATACTGGTAGCGTAGCCCGAAGTCAAGGAAGTGGACGGAAGAAAACAGCAACATCAGCAGAAATGGTTCGAAAAGTGAAGAAGTGACTTCATCGAAAGCCGCGTCGCAGTGCCTGAAAAATGGCTCGTGAGCTGAACATATCGCAATATTCCATTCAGCAAATATTGATAAATGAGCCCCGGGTAAAGCCATTGAAATTCCAAAAAACTAAAAATAGCTAAAGAGTTGCTTCGCTTGAAGGAAAACCTTTGTCGTCCTGCAGTTTGTAACCAAACAAAATGATCGTGTTTACTTTCCAACGAATTCAGCTGAAAATGTACACCTTCGGTTGGCCACCAGAAATCAAGCGGCGGTCATGGTGATGGTGTGGGCCGCCATAACAGCCGATGGTCGCTCTCCGCTCGTATTAATCGACCGTGGCATCAAAATCGTGAAAATATTCTGGAGGGTGTATTAAAGCCTTGGGCCCGCAAACATTTTGGCTGCAGACCTTGGACATTCCAACAGGACTCAGCACCATCGCACTCAGCACGCGGCAACCAAGAATGGTTACAATATGGGTTCCTCTCTTCATTTACAGCGCAAAATGGCCACCAAAAATGCTGCTTAAATTGTAAGGAAAGAAATGATTTAAAGAAATAAAAATAAAAATATAAAGTGTAAAGATAAATTATTTATTTACGGTTTTAGAAGAATTTTAACAAATTCTTCTGGTGCGCTAGCGATATAGGTCTTACGTTTTTGTCGCGATATAGGTCTTACGTTTTTGTCGCGATATAGGTCTTACGCTGTAAAGAAATCCAGTTGGTTTAAATTGTCAATTTCGTTACATATACCTCAAATAAGTCTTCATAAAGAAGGTTAAACCGGAACAAAAGCTCTAACGTAAACATGCCCTTGTATGGCAATTTTACGGATTAATCTTTTCTTCTTTATTAAAATAACCGAAGTTTTAATACCCTCCATCTTTGGGTAAAGAAAACATTTTTATATAAAAGTATCTGAACTCAAACGTGTTCCACTTTAAATTACAAATACAAACAATTTTGTTAGTAAATGTGGCTAGTATTATCCAAATATGGAGTATCGGTGGGTATCGTTATATATGCGCAATAGGAAAACGTAGACATAAACCTGCCCCATTATGAATCACAAATACAAATTTTTAGACAAATCCGTGGAAAATTTTGGGGGCTATACGAACAACGTGGAAATATGTGGCAAAAATCATCAATATACCGATTATGGGAAGGTACCGTTATACGGGACTACAAAAAAAAACGTGGACTATACTTAAAATGTTTCGCCACCGGAGCTAGAACTATGACCTACAAATACCAATTTTTAGATCGACCAGTGAAAGAATGTGGCGAAAATCATCAAAATACAGAATATCGGGAGGTACTGTTGTATGGCGGCTGTACCAAAACGTGGACCGATATTTTCAATTTTCATTTCGTATTTTTATATTCACCATATTTTCATTTTCAATACCAACAATCCTTGACGCAATACAAATTGTTCTGGCAAATGAAGCGCTTCGTCAAATAATATGGGCTGCATCGTGATTTCAACAGACGGATAGACAGACAGGCGGACATCTTTAAATCGACATAGAATTTTATGCCGATCATGACTTTATGGGGTCTACGACGAATATTTAGGGATGTTACAAACGGAATGCCAAGCTAATATACCGTCCTTTTCAAGGTGGAGGGTATAAAAAATAAATTAAAATTTTAAATTTTGTGACTTTTATTAATAGCAAAATTTTGTTTTTTTTTTTTACAGAGTCATAAGTATGCGCGATAATAAAATCAAAATCGAACAACCAATGGAAACATTCAACGCTATGCAATATACGTTGCTTAAACTAGATTTAAGCGGAGATCAAAACGACCCGACAAATCTACAAACTTTGCGCAAGTAAGTTCATTATTTCCCCCATGCAATATCAAAAATGTCTTTTTATTCATTTGTAAAAAGTATGACCAGAATGAGGAATATGCGCTCACTGTCCATGTCCCGGATGAGTGCAACATCCATAGGGCCGGATGATTTCAAGGATTTCGGTGTGGAGCTGGAAGATTTGCAAATAGTCAGAGCGAGCCTGAGCAATATACAGGCACATGCCTTTAAACATGTGCGGGGACTGAAGCGTTTGGATTTCAGTGAGAATAGTATACAAAGTATTGAAAATGATGCATTTGATGAGGTGGGTGTTTTTAACTAAAAAATATGTAAACTAATTAAAATGTTTATTTTTTTCTTGGGTTTTAGATTGGTCATTCTTTGATTTCATTGAAAATTGCCCATGGTTTTTCGGGTACTGCATTGCCAGCTGAACCATTGCGACATCTGACCTCATTGCAGGAACTAGATATGAGTAATAATAAAATACAAAGTATGAGTGATACCAGTTTTCATTTTTTGAAAAATCTAAGACTTTTGGAATTGCACGATAATCGCATTGAACAAGTAATGAAGGGCACGTTTCAGGTGAGAGTGAGTCTGAGAGAGAGAGAGACCTGTACTGAATTAAGTAATAAAATTATCATTTCCAATTTCATTTCAGGGTGATATACATTCGAAACTTGAGGAAATTTCTTTCCGTTTCAATCACATGACTCAAATATCACAGCATACGTTTTTCGATTTAGAGGTAGGTAGGAATCTAAGCAATTTTAAGAGTTTATAATTTTGCATTATTGTAAAATGTTTATTAGGCCTTGAGAAAACTGCATTTGGATGATAACAAAATTGAGCGCATAGAAAGGCGAGCCTTTATGAATCTGGACGAGCTGGAACATTTAAGTTTACGTGGAAACAAACTAAACAATCTGGCCGAAGAATCGTTTCAGGTAACTGTGTACCCAAAAGAGGAATATATGAATATGTATATCAATGAAATTTGAAGCTATATTAAACATATATATGCTTGTATGTAAATGTATGCTATACATTTAAAATTACCTATCAAATTGCCACCAAGTGGATTGGATATGCGGTAAAATTTTTTGATCTGTTCAAATTGAGGATGGTCCCAGTATCTTATAAGGACATGGTGGATTCCATTGAAGTTTTTGGAATTAAATGAAATATCTATTGAAAACAATTTACAGCCAATTTTATTGGAAACTTTTGCGAAGCCTTTAAAATATCTGAATTAGGGAGGCATCTAGAATAAATAGCCCATCTTGATAAACAAAAGGAAATTGCACCAACAAATTAAATAACAAATCGGATGAAACATGTATGCGGTAGTACAATTACCTGCATATGCTACGACATGTATTTTATATGCGATTTCTATGATAACCTGTACCAGTGAGGTATAGTGTATTATGATTATGAAAGTAAACAAGTAAAAAGCTGTGCTGGTGCTAACAATTATGTTGCTAAAATCATCAAAATACCGAATATCGGGAGGTACTAAAAAAATCCGAAAACTACCACTTAAATGAAAACCGATATATGAGGACTATACGGAGACGTGGACCTGCACGAACTTTAAATATGAAATTACCGGTAAATAATGTCGCTAAAATCATGAACGTACCGAATGTCGGAAGGTACCGTTGTATGGGGGCTATACAAAAACGTGGACCGACATGGCCCATTTACAAACTTAACCTGCCAACTAGTAAACTATGCAATTCGTTCGGAAGATAGCGTGATTACAACAGACAGACATCGCTAGATCGTCTTAGAATTTTACGCTGATCCAGTAGGCTCTATTATGAATATTTCGAGGAGTTACAAACGGAATAACAAAGCTAATACACCCTCCATAGAATGGTGGAGGGTATAAACAAGTGTAAACAAATCCGGTATATTATATCTGTACCAAACAATGGAGATCTTCAAAGAACAAGGACTTTGTAAAAAATCGACTTCGATTAAATACTCATCAATGATACAGTACTTTATGGGCTTTTAGGATATTTCGACAAGATAAAAATGGAATGTCAAATTGCCAATAGTTTGTGAGAGGATGCAACTGTGTCTTTTCTTTAATTGGACACAAATATAGCAGTAATGACGAAGAAAGCGAGTTGAAAATTTGATAACTCTATTAGGGAGTATATGGGAGTTTGCCATGCCGACTGTTCTTTCTATTTGAAAGCATTGAAAACAGATATAAAGTCGCCTTCATTTTCTCTTTGTTCTCAAAGTGAATACCGTTTTTAAACTCAAGGCTGTCCAGCTATCCTGCCATGGTAACAATTTGCTAACATAAATAAGTTTAGGATTAATTGAAACTGCTCTGACTGTCTACATACAGGGCCGCGTTTCATTAGCCTGCAAAGATTCTTGTCTAAAAGTAAAAATAAGGAACCGAGATGGAGGAGAAATAATGGAACATTGTTAGCAAAATGTATAACAATTGACAATTTTTAATTACATTCCTAAAGCTCAGGAATATACGCAGATATGTTTTTAAAACCATTGGGGAATGATCAGCTGATAAAAAAATTCAATTCAAGAAGTACAAAATTGCCAGAATAATAACTATTACGGGAGTGGCCCGGTCCAGTGCCACTTCGCTGTGAACGTCCTATAGAGTATAGATATTATCTAGCGGAATAACACCGATGTTCCATATGGATTAGAATGAGTGATTTGCTGCAATTTTCTTTGCATTTAATTGAAATAACTCAATGGTATGTATATTCGTTTTCGGAATCAGTAAGTGATTGGTTACAATACTCAATTTGTACTCTGAGGACTTCCTCTTAAAAATGCTTCTAAACACATCCATTTTTTTCTAGTTTTAAATAAAATTGCACAAATTCATATATTTAAGTACATATAAATAAAATTCGCCTTTTTTTTGAAAATTAAAAGAAAATACTTTTATATCTTAAAATCTATTCACTTATATTATGAACAAACATAGCATGCATATTATACTCTTTCGATGTACCAAATGTCTCGTGGCAAATAAAACATTTCCATTGATTACTGAATTCCGATGGTGCGTTTATATCGTCAATAGGTTCGGATTTTACAGTTGCCTGTAAACATTCCAAGTCTTCTTTAAGTGTGGGGAATAATAATTCCGAATCATCAGTTTCGTATCTGGCCCTTTGAGGAGGGTGATGTCCCATATTTTTCCATGAAGAACTGGAATTGTTGCCCATGAAATTTGAATGCTTAGTGGGAATACTGGGGACAATCATATTGTGGCTGAATTCTTTATAAGACGGCCTTGAGGATGGATACATAGGGCTAGGTTGAGCAGTTCTAAATGATAGGGGCACCGGTGGAGGTGTGAGTTTCTTTATACTATTCGATGTTTGCGGGAAATCTGGTAATAATAATTCATCACAGTTTTTGCTAGTTACTCGTCTGGCGTATAGGTCCGGTATGTTGTGAATGCGCATGTGAGAATTGCTGGATCGGTAGTTTGAAAAGACTTTATGACAAATGTTACAAGAGAAAGAGCCATCGGGATTTTTCGTGGAGCTCTGCGGAATTAAAAGCATTATAATAATATAATATTAGTGAGAATTGTATTCATGGTATACCTTGCCATCTTTGTAGTAATATCGTTTCTTTTTGCGTGGAATAGGATTTGCACGAACCAACATGGAATTGCTACTCATTACAAGCTGTGGCAATTTCAATTGTGATGACGTTTGACTTAATGAAGAGAGTTTTGTGGTAGGTGCAACTCGATTAAGATAGAATTGTTTCATAATTGAGCGAAAACTAATACCATGTGCCGAGGGCATATGTTCTCGTAAAACTTTCGGTGAATGTGGAAACTCTTTGCCGCATATGAAACAATAGTAATAGCAATCACTGTTCGACCAATGTTGTAAAATACTTTTATTGTCCTTGAACACTTGCCAACAATTCAGGCAACGAATATTCTTTTCGTTATTCACACAAATGAGACGTCCACGTCTCAAATGTTTCGGCAACTGTCGTTTTTCAAATAGTTTATAGCTGGATATATTTAAATGTTCGACCTGATGTTCTGCCAATTGCTTTTCGCTAACAAATTTCCTTTCACAATACGGACAATCGACGTCGGCGACGACGTCATCAGCTGAATCAATCGATGGATGTAATCTAGTTTCATTTTGTGATATTTTAACACGTTTAATTGTGCATCCATTAAGTTCTAATTTTGTTTGAATATTTTGTACCAGTTTTTCATTAGGTGGTAATTTAATTTTATCGTTGCTTTTAAGAATTGAACTTTCATCGGATATAATATCTCCACTGGAGGGAAATGTCAACATCTTTATGGGGGTATTTTGATTGATGTCAACACTATAGGAAGCTTTTATAAATAGTTTTGTTGACCTTGAAGAATTCTGAAAAGAAGAAGAAAAAAAGAGCATTAAAAAGAGAAAAATATTCTCAAAATTTAAAAATTTTCCTCAAAACGTTCTGACAATTTCTTTAAAAATCGTAGTTTTATAACCTTTGACTTTTTAGATACGGATATTACTCGAAAAATGCTGTTGGAGAACATGCGGTTATATCACTGTCAATGTTCAAACATATGCCCATATAAAATCTACGATTTGTTCGAGAGTCAGGATGTACCGTTATATGTTAGCTATACCTTACGTGGGTCGATATGGCTAATTTTCAATATCAAAGATCCTAGATATAACACTAGCATATTTGCAATCTTCAAAAGATATATTAAAACCAATATGAAATTTATATTGAGTGTAATGCTGATCAGTGGGCCTCAGAAGAATCTTGCAAGGTCTGACAAAAGGAAATGATTTAGTAAACATTTTACTTTACTTTCAGGTGTGTGATGGAAGTCAATTCGGCTCGTTTTGGTATAAATATTTTTATTATTTTATTATACTCTCCACCATACTATGGAAGGTATATTAACTCTGTCATTCCGTTTGTAACTTCTCGAAATATTCATAGTAGACTCTACAAAGTATATATATTCTGGATCAGCGTAAAATTCTAAGACGATCTAGCGATGTCCGTCTGTCTGTTGTAATCACGCTATCTTTCGAACGATTTGAGATAGAAGGCTAAAATTTTGCATACATGCATAGTTTACCAGTAGGCATGTTAAGTTCGTAAATGGACCATGTCGGTCCACTTTTCGTATAACCCCCATATAACGGTACCGCCCGATCATCGGCATTTTGATTTTAATATAAAAATTTTAGCGTCATTATTCACTGGAACTGCTTCAAATTATGTATTATGTAATGGGTACTACAGCCAATGACAAAAATGTTTGTATGCCGATCCAAGTCTTCGTATAGCCCCCATATAACGGTACCTAACGATTTTCGGTATTTTGATGATTTCAGCAACTTTATCCATCGGAATCGTTTCAAATGTCGTACTGGAAGATCCTAATGAGTACTATAACCTATGGCAAAAAATTTTTTGTATGCAGGTCCATGTCTTCGTATAACCCCCACATAACGGGTTTCATTTAAATGGTAGTTTTCGGAATTTTTTGAAAATATTAAAGTTCCTTTGAAATGGTGGATGTTATTAAATGACGAACATAGCTGCTTTTTACTTGTTTTCTAATCTTTTAATTCAAACTCAGATTGAATTTTGAAAATATGTAATTATACTTTCAACAAAAGAAATATCTTTTTATGAGCCAAAGACGATTCCACAATTCAAATGGAGTCGATTTCCATCCCATATATTAATGTTTTACTAGGATGCTTCATTACTGAAAGGTATCCGAAATTGTAAAAGTGTAAATGGTCCGGGGGCAATTTGGAACAATTCTAATGAGATATATTGATGATAGTGGTAAAACACTGAGAATCGAACATTGAAAATGGGCCATTTGGGTAGACTTCACAAAGTAATACTTCCTCATTTTCGATAACAACATTTATTTTTGAAAATGAAATAAAACAAAAACTGTTGACATATAGCTCGAAAAAAACCTTGTTATATTCTTCTTGCTTTAAATGATGAATGTTGCTTTCTGATTTTGTACCTCCTTCTGCGCCACAGTGATTTGTTTACAAACCTTAGTCTACAATTTTTCTTCGTGAGAAATTAGGAAGTTCGGTCCGGCTTAAATAATGATTTTCATTATTTTCAAAATCCAACTAATATTAGTCATAAGCAAATGCATACTTTATACAGACTGCTGTCATTTCAAAGCCATTCGACCGGCAGCTGTTAAAATTATTCCACTGACAGCTAATTATATTGTTTACAAGCGTACAAAAGCAGTTTGGTGAGAATTTTCTAGAAACAAGTTATTCGTGATGGAATTCAAGCGTGATAGTGTGATTTCTTTATATTTGGCTGGAAAACCAAAAGTGGCTATCGTTAGAGCACTCCAGCATTTAAACGTGAATAAATCTTTTGTGTCTCGTACCAATGTCGTGGAAGTGGACGGAAGAGAAGAGCAACATCAGCAGAAATGGTTTGAAAAGTAAAGAAGCGACTTGATCGAAACCCGCTTCGCAGTGGCCGAAAAATGGCTCGTGAGCTGAACATATCGCAATATTCCATTCGGCAAATATTGAAAAATGAGCTCGGAGTAAACCCATTGAAATTGAAAAAAGTCCAAGAACTTACACCGTAACAGAAAGAAAATAGACTCAAAAGAGGTAAAGAGTTGCTTTGCTTGGCCGAAAGTGGTGAACTGCCGAATTTGGTTTTCTCCGACGAGAAAATATTCGTTGTCTAGCAGAGGTCAGCTGAAAATGTGTTAATTAAATGTGTTAAAATTACCTCAATTTCATTTAAAATACGAAAATATTCATGTTGTGGCTCCTCGGTTCTTAGCATATTCAATAGTTTCTTTTGATGTCTCAGCACTTCCTGTATGTCTCGATACAATGAATATACATTTTCTACGCATTTGGGGCATATATGCTGTGGCAGTGGATCATTTTCGTATAGCTATTTAAAAGGGGGAAATCAAATGAAAATATGTAATTTTAAATAATACCCGATTAAGCGCCAAATTATAACAACCTGCCCCCCTGAAATTCCCCACCACTTACCACAAATGGATAAACTGTTGATATTTTACTTAGTAAATCATCTATTCCTGTTTTTTCCGACTGGGAGGAGGTTGGCGATGGGGTTTTCTTCGCTAAGAAAATATTCACATTTTCCTTATCCTCACACCCACAAAATCGACACATATTTTCGGGCCGGCAATCACCAAGAATATAGCGATTTTTAGGGCTTTCCATAGCGGCCTTTGAAGAAGTGAAATTAGCCCACTGAATTTATTTATAATTGTTCTGTTTTGTATATTTAACTTTTAATTGTTGTTGTAAGTATCTGCCTGTTTTCTCGCAAACAACAAAACATAAAAAACACCGACGAACGAATACATGAATCTTAATCTGTCAAATTTGTAAAGCAGCTGTTACAAGTGAGAGCGAAAGGGAGAATGGGAATTGTTTTCTCTCATAGGATTAAACGTACTCTTTATTATTTTTGTACGGCGTTGATTGATGGTTGCTTGGCTTTGAATCGGATTTTAGGTTTAGTACAATGACCGTTAAATTTTAAAATGAAATAATTGAAACTAAAAATGAAGAAAATAGCTTTGAATTTTCTTGTCATAATTTTCTCATGTAATCACATCGACAATATTTCTTTATGCCCTAAAACACTTTTGTTAATAAATAAAAACTCAGGATATTCGAAAAAAAGTCACGTTTGTTAGTCTTTACAATCCTTATAAAATATTCTTTAAAAAATATCTGAAGGTTCTTGAAAAACATCTTTTAAAACTTCGTACTTGAAAATCTAGTCCTACCTTAGTTTGTCTGATAAAAACCACGTTTCTCGGTGATGCTTGAAAAATATAAAAGAAATCTTTTTGATCCTTTTATGAGAATATGAAATGTAAACATTTATAAAGGAAGGAAATGTCAAATGAATGAATTAATAGAACAAGAATCCAGCCCCATGTTGTATCTAAAAGTTATTGAATAACACAAACATGATCTTGAAAATGTTCTTTAAAAAATTCATGGTTGATGGTTTTTGAAAAATATTTTATATCCTCCACCATAGTATAGTGGGTATATTAAATTTGTCATTCCGCTTGTAGCATCTCGAAATATACATTTTAGACCCCACAAAGTATGTATATTCTTGATCGGCATAAATGTCTATGTCGACTGAGCGATGTCCGTCCGTCGGTGGAAATCACTCCAGATTCCGAACGCAATGAAGAAGGCTGATTAAATTTTACTGAAATGTATATTATGTCTGCAGGACTTTGCGTATTGAATTGTACCTTCTCATTTTCGGTATTTTGGTGATTTAAGCCACATTTTTCACCGGAATTGTTTCAAATTTGGTATTTGAATTTCGTAATGGATACTACAACCAATGACAGAAAATTGTCTTTGCAGGTCTACGTTTTCGTATAGCCCCCATATAACGGTACCTCCCGATATTCGGTATTTTGATGATTTTAGCGACATTATTCACCGGAAATGTTCCACATTTGGTCTTTGAAATTCGTAATGGATACTACAGCCTAAGACGGAAAATTGTCCGTGCAGATCCACGTCTTCGTATAGCCCCCATATAACGGTACATCACTATATTCGGTATTTTGATGATTTTAGCTACATTATTCAACGATTTTTTTTCAAGTTTCGAATTTGAATATTGTAATGGCTTGAGATACAAGTTGTCTATGCAGGTCCACGTCGTCGTATAGACCCTAAAATAACGGCTACATTCGATATTTTTAAGATTTTAACAGAATTTTTAACGGATTTTATTTTTTTGAAAACTGCAAAATTCGTTGCGAATTGTGGAGGGTATTAAAAGTTCGTCCCGCTCACAGCTTTTTTACTTGACAAAAAGATCCAAAATTTATGATTTTATTCTGAAAAATCAATATGAAAATTTACCTTTGTGGCTTTGAAAATCCTTGAAAAGAGGATCAGTGAAAGCCCTTAATAAAATATTGGAAAAATTTTGTTCTGAATGACCTATAAAATGTTGCTAATTTGTAAATTACAGTCATCCAAACATATGAAATCTTCTCATAATAACTTTTAACTGCTTTTATATTTACAGAATTTACCAAAACTGGAAGTTCTCGATATGGCTTTTAACATGTTGCCGAATTTTAATTTTGACTATTTTGATCAGGTAATTTGACATAGACCAAAATTATGCAAATATTGCTATGGATATATGTTTTAATAACCCCTCTCCAATAGGTGGGGACATTATCAAATTTAAATGTAAATGTTAGTCATAATCAAATCAAAATGTTAATGCACAATTCATCATGGGTCGGTAGAGGTGATCATGGTAATTTGAATACACATACAAATTGATAGAATAGAACACATATTTGCTACATATTTTTCTCATTCCAGGCTCAATGTATCATTCAAACATAAAAATATTAGATTTATCACACAACAATATCTCGATAATATATCCGGGATATTTTAGACCCGCCGAAAGTTCATTGACACATTTACATTTGGGCTATAATGCCTTGATGGTGAGTAGTTTCAAAACAAAAAAATCTAAGAGAATATATTTCTCTCATTATTCTCTCATAACATTTATTCAAATAATGTAAGTCCATCTCTCCATTTTCTTCTTTTCAAAATCTAGAATGTCACCCGTGATGTCTTTGGTAATATGCCACATTTGCAATGGTTGGATATCTCACATAATTATATACGTGAAATCGATTTTGATGCCTTTAAGAATACCAAAGAATTGCAGGTAGAATAACGACAACAACAACTAATACATTCATTTTCACCTCATTTGCATTGGCAAATAATTGTGTTTTTCTGTTTTCTGTTATCTTCATTTCCAGTTGATCTATTTCCATTACAATCATTTGACTGATATACCTCAAGAAGTTTTCAAACCCATTCGAGCATTACGTGTTGTAGACTTTTCTCATAATCATTTGCGTGGCTTGCCGGATAATTTATTCTATAATGGTGGTATGGAGAAGTAAGTATAAAAAATGTTTAAACTTCGGAAGATCAATGTGGCAAGTGGGTGTGTTGCTACCTACTGAGACTCCAGAACACCGATTTATAGCAATAGATTTTTCTGCTGTTTGACAAACTCTTGTCAACATATATAGCCAAAATGTCGAAGTCAATATTTTAAAAAGATTATTGGTATAACCCCAAAGTACCCGAAATTTTAAGTACTTTAATGGTTATAGCAAGATTGTTTGTTATGGCTGTATAAATATATATGAAACGCAAAAATATCAATGAATTATATTATCACTACATTATCACGTAAACATTTGTAAAGCGTTTCAAGATCACGGAAAGATTTGAAAAAAGGAAAGTATATATGGATCTTTCTATCTCGCCGAGCTGAGTCGATCTAGCTATGTATGTCCGTCCGTCCGTTTATCCGTCTGTCCATGTTAATTTGTAATCACTCTACAGGTCGCAGTTATGGCCCGATCTTCACGAAATTTAGAATGGAGGTGGGGCTAGGGTCAGAATAGAACCCTATTTCTTTTGGAGATAATCGCATAATATTTAGGGGTTGAAATGGACCAAAAACTGAAAAAATTCCGGATTTTGCAGTTGCTCTACAGGTCGCAATTATAGACCAATCGACGTGGAAGTTAGCATGGAGGTAGAGCTTATGGCTCGGCAGATGCCCTCCAATTTTGATGGTCATCGGGTATATTTAGTGGGTGAAATAGACCACAACATTTGTGTTAAATAAAAGTCAAATTTTCCATTAAACCGCGAATATTTTTAATCCCGGCGAAATCACAAATAGACAGGTCAATTCGGACCGTTACGTAGATGCCGATAGTAAATATATCGGTTATATATAGCGAAATATATACAATGTGTATCTACAAAGGAAGGGATGTTAGTTAGAATGCTTATATCTCAAGAATGGCTGAACCGATTTTGACAAATTTTGTCAATTTAGAATGCTCTCTTGACATAAAAGTATAATATCTAAAAAAAATCGCAGAAACATATGTCAATAAAGATGTTAATATAGATTTTGTAGTATTTTGTGACATTTTTTATTTTTTCATATTTTTTATCGCATGCGATTTTTTCAATTTGACTTATAATATTTTGTAATATTTTTTCACATTACAACACAGATTGGGGATATTATATATGTATTGCATATATAGTCCGATCATCACGAAAATTTTCACAAGGGTAGAGTTAGGCTCAGATGGGCTAGGCCTATTGTTTTCAAAGATGTCCGCAATATATTAGGGGGTTGAAATGGACCAACAACTAAAAATGGTCCTGATTTTGCAGCCGTTACAAAGGTCACAAATAGAAACCAAAGGACATGAAATCTCGCATAAAGTTAGAGTTAGGACAACGGGTACAATGGACCATTAATTTTGTGTGAAAAATACCAGCATTACTTACAGGCGATATCCGAAATACACAAAAGGCGAATTTCTGGCGTTTTTATGCTGATTTCGTTGACAAATATAGCCAAATATTGTAGACAAGCAAATCATATAGATGAGTCTAAATTTGGAGATACAGAGGGGCTTCGTGCTTTTGGAGATGATTGCAAAATTTTTTTTTTAGGGGTTCAAATTAGCCAAAAACAAATGTTTTTCCGATCACACAATTGAAGCCATTTATCTGTAAAATGGACTACATCAACTAACAGCCCGGCGGAGTGCATAAATGTTGGGCAAATGTCCCTAGTCAAAATCCTAATTTCAAAAGCGAAATCTTCCAATATGGATTTGAACATAAGGAGGCTTCTAACCTATTGTAGTGTTGTAGGGTATAACATAGTCGGCCCTGCACGACTATAGCCTTTTCTTACTTGTTTAATTTGTTTTTGTTAGATTGTCACTAAAATAAGTTCTAGGGATGTTTGTGAGTAAACTATCTCTATTAAAAATGTCGCTGTAAAAATATGTAGGACTGAAGAGGTATATTTACTGTAGGGGAATAATCTTGATTTTTTAAAACTTCATCTTAAAATTAATTTTCTATTAAAAGTAATTCCCTTACCCTTTCATAGGTTGGATGTATCCCATAATATGCTGCTGAAAATACCCTCTTCGTCTTTGTCTAGCTTGGCAGCTCTAACATTGTGTGAATTACATCTATCCAATAACTTCATATCGACCATACACAGCATGGATCTGTCCAATAAATTCAGAGTGAGTTGGAGACTGTTTCTACAATAAATGCACCTAAGTATCGACTACCTATTTCTTCTACTTCTACTATCAATATACTACTACTTCTTGTACTACTGTTACTACTACTCTACTATCTCTCTTTTCATATTCCTTAATGTCGAATATTAAAATAAAAAAACCAAAAACCGAATAACCACCAAACAACCACCCCCCAACATCATCTAATCTAAAATAAATCAAAACCAAATCAATAAATATGTAATAAATACCAAAATCCTACTTAACCCACATGTTAGCCGAATAAATATCGGGTAACACTTCTAATCTTCTATACTATTTTTATTTTATTTGAATTCCAAGACCCAATTATTATGGGATTTTTAATTTTCTTTCTCGTTGCCTTTTTCCAGTCGTTACGTTACTTGGATATTTCGTATAATTATTTGCTGCGTATTGATGATGCCGTCTTTGCAACAATGCCCAAATTGGCCGTTTTGGATTTGTCACACAATCGCGATCTTAAAGTTATGGATAAATCTTTTATGGGTTTGGAGACGAGTCTAATCAAATTAGGTTTGGAAAATGTTTCGCTCAGCACAGTGCCGGAGATTCGTTTGAGATATTTACGCGAAATACGTTTGGGCTACAACGAACTGCCATCGATACCACAAGAATTGGCCCATAATATGTCCAATTTGAGAATGTTGGATTTATCCAATAATGATTTGACCAATGTTCCCTTGATGACACAGTATTTGCCGCATTTAAGGTGAGTGGTGTTATTCAACTTTGTATTTAAAAACTTTTGTATTTTATTTTTATTTGTTTTTCTAGGAAACTGATGCTCTCTGGCAATCCCATTTCATCGCTCAACAACAACAGTTTCGATGGTGTCAATGATGATTTGGAAATGTTAGACATTTCCAATTTCCGTTTGCATTATTTCGAATATGGCTGCCTGGATGCATTGCCACATTTGCGTCAATTGAAGTTGACAGCATATTCGCATTTGGAACATTTCAATATCCCCTATTTGCTGAGAAATCATCACAATATACGGGATCTATGGATTGAGGCACCACAACCATTTACACGCATCATCAAAAAGGGTTCGGGACCAAATCAAGAAATGCAAACCGTACAAATGGGTATGCCCACCGATTTATCGCGCGAAATGGAAGGACATCTGCCAATGAAATTGACAAACATCACATTTAGTGGGCCACAATTTTCCACATTGAATGAGAATATTTTAAAGGTGGGTGGGTGGCCGGCCAATAATTGTTGTATATGTAATTTTTATACCCTACACCACAAGGTGGTCAGGGTATTATGTCTTTGTTCATTTGTTTGTAACAGGCAGAAGAAAACGAGATAGACCCATAGTTCCTTTTGACGATCTGCATAGAATCACATTCTGAGTCGATTTATGCAAGTCCGTCCGTCCGTCCGTCTGTCCATGTATTTTTGTAAACAAAGTACAGGTCGCATTTATTGCCCGATCCAGATGAAATTTTGCAAAGATCTTTTGTTTGGCCCAAGGACGAACCCTATTGAAATTGGAGATAATCGGTCAAAATTTAGATATAGCTCCCATATATATCTTCGTCCGATTTGCCTTTTATTGTGCACCAAACGTGTAATATCAGCCCGAATTGTATAGAATTTTGCATATACACCCAAATTAGGCCTGAAAATATGTATGCCAAATTTGATCGAAATCGATTCAGATATAGCTATAGCTCCCATATATATTGTTCATCCGATTTGTTATTTTTGTCCACCGTCGCCGTAATATGCACTCTGCAACAACAATATTTGGGGAAATATATCAAATACAGCTCAGAAATACATTTGCTAAATTTTATCCAGATCGGTTCAGATTTGGATATAGCTCCCATATATAACTTCGTCCTATTTAATTTTTATTGTGCACCAAACGTCTAATATTTGTCAAAATGGGATGGAATTTGGCACTTACGACCGAATTGAGTCTAGAAGGTAGTATGTCAAATTTGGTGAAGATCGGTTCAGATATAGCTATAGCTTCCATATATATTATTCATCCGATTTGTTATATTTGTTACCTACAACCGTAATATGCACTCCGTAGCAACGATATTCAGGTAAATATATCAAAAACAGCTCAGAAATATCTTTGCCAAATTTTATCGAGATTGGTTCAGATTTGGATATAGCTCCCATATATATCTTTATCCGATTTCAAATTAATTGTGCACCAAATGGGCTATACAATTCTGAATTTAAAAGACACAAATGCTTCGGCATATTTAGTCCTTTGAACTTGAAATTATAATTATAATCATAGCGTGTATGATTGTATTCTCCCATAAAAAACTTTTAATTGTTATGTGGATCTCTACTAAACTAGCAAAGTGGTGTAGGGTATCATAAAGTCGGCCCCGCCCGATTTTAAGACTTTCTTTACTGGTTTTAATTTGATTTTCAGGGCATGCAGTCTCCTTATTTATATATCCAACTATTCAATACATCCTTAATGGAGTTACCGAAGAATTTCTTCAAGAACATGGGAAGAGTGCGTAATATCTCCTTGGATATTCGTTACAATAATCGTATGCTGAAGAAAATACCAAATCCAAATACTGGGACCGTGCCATATCTACCAAACAGTGTATTCTTAACGGATCTGAAAATGTCGGATACAGATTTGAATTGTGACTGTGATTTGGGGTAAGTAAGAATACATTAAAAACAACCCAGCGAACCAAACGGTCCGAGCTCGAAACGAAAGTTGATAGCAACTTACGATTTCGGATGGAACTCGGTCCAACTTCTGACCGAAAGTTGTGTGGAGTGGTTGTCGTGTTGTCTGACCAAAGGATGAAAGTCTGAAGTTTTAGCAAACTTTCGAACAGAAGTCGGGCCGAATTCGCATTTTGTTTGTTTACAAACAAATGTTACTGCACAAGCCGAAGAGAAACGTGGACCTGCATAGACAATTTTCTGTCATAGCTCTAAAACTCTAAATATGAAATTTGAAACAGCTCCGGTGAATAATAACGCCAAAATCTACAAAATATCGAACATAGGGAGGTACCGTTGTTTGTGGGCTATACGATATTGTGGACCTATATAGACATTTCTCTTCCAGGGGGTAAAGTGCTTAGAAAGAACTTCTAGTATGGATGTTTTGACAATTCAATTGAAAAATGTAGCTAAAATCATCAAAATATCGAATATAGGGAGGTACTCTTCCAGGGAGTAAAGTACTCACAAAGAACCCCCTGTGAAGAATTTCAGACAATTCCATTGAAAAATGTGCCTAAGTTCATTAAAATACCGAATATCGGGGGGTACCGTAATATGGAGGCTATCCATATATCGCGGACCGATATAGATAATTCTCTGCCGAGGTATAAAGTACCCACAAGGAACTCCTTGTGTGGATTTTCAGACAATTCCATTGAAAAATGTGCCTAAGTTCATTAAAATGCCGAACATCGAGGGGTACCGTAATATGGAGGCTATTCTATATCGTGGACCGATATAGATAATTCTCTGCCGAGGTATAAAGTACCCACAAGGAACTCCTTGTGTACAATTTCAGACAATTCCATTGAAAAATGTGCCTAAGTTCCTTAAAATACCGAATATCGGGGGGTACCGTAATATGGAGGCTATTCGATGTCATGGACCGATATAGTCTATCTTCGAAAGTGGCCTGCCTGTAGACAAAAGACAGATCTGTGCAAAATTTTAGCTTCCTATCTTAATTCGTTCTGACTCTAGCGTGATTAAAACAGACTGACGGACAGGGCTAAATCGTCTTAGAATTTTATGCTAATCAAAGATACAGGGTGAGACATAAAAAACTGAAACAAAGTCAAACGCTATAATTTTTACTTTTTGTTTAAATGTTATTGAATTAAAGCAAAAAAAGCCGGAAATAGCATCAAATTTTAGAAAAAGTCCAGATTGGTTCGAATTGGTCAACTTTGGCACGAATTATGGCCTTCAAACGGTCAATGAAACTGTCATACGCTGCCCAAATGTTGCTCTGCGGCCCATTCCCGGCGAAGCGCTTGCTTAAAGTGATCGACACTTAGGTGTTTTTTAGTGCCAACTTTGATTTTGGTGGCCATTGTGCGCTGGAAATGAAGCGAGGAACCTCATTTTGTAACCATTCTTGGGTGGCGATGTCCAAGGTCTGCGATCAAAATGTTTGCGTCCCAAGGTTTTAATACATCCTCCAGAATATTTTCCCGATAATATTCGACATTTATTCTGATGCCACGGTCGATTTATACGAGCGGAGATCGATCATCGGTTGTTATGGCGGCCCATACCATCCCCATGGCCGGCGCTTGAGTTCTGGTGGCCAACCGAAGGTGCACATTTTCAGTTGACCTTTTTGGCAAGTAAACACGTTCTTTTGTTTGTTTACAAACTGGTGGACAACGAATGTTTTCTCATCGGAGAAAACCAAATTCGGCAGTTCACCACTTTCGAACCATTTCTGCTGATGTTGCTGTTTTCTTCCGTCCACTTCCTTGACGTCGGGCTACGCTATCAGTATCACGGTAACGAGCGATGGTACGAAATACAAAATATTTATTCACATTCAAATGCTTAAAGATAGCCACTTGTAGCTTTCCACCCAAATGTAACGAAATCACACTATCACGCTTGAATGCCATCACGAATAACTGTTTTTTTTTTGGAAAATTCTCGCCAAAATGCTTTTGTACGCTTGTAAACAATATAATGAGCTGTCACTGGAATAATTTTAACAGCTGTCGGATGAGTGGCTTAGAAATGACGTCAGTCTGAAGTAGGTTGCAGTTTTTCATCTCATCCTGTATAGTACAATTATATCAATCAATATTAAATACTTTATTGAATAGTTAGCGTTTTTTAGTTTAATAACTTTTTGGGAACATACTATGTGGAAAGGTCAGTTTACATATGACTCTAACATAATGTGTAAAATGTACAGAAGACACAATAATATTGACTCTCTTTATCAACTTTCAGATGGGTGGAATTTTGGCAACGTAAACGTCGTCAATACATCTGTTCTTCACAAACCTGGACCGATACTGTGTTCCGCACATTCATGAATTCGCCGTGCCAGGTGTACGGCCGTTACACCTGTGACGATCACGATGATGATTTGAGAGAAACACGATGTGACAACAAAGGTGGACAACAATTGATGGAGGTAAGCAGACTACGTAACTAGATCTTTTTATTCGTACTTTAACTCTCCTTTCATTTCATTTCATTTCGAACAGTCGCTTAAGGCCGACTTAGAATGTGGCTGGGATGGTACCTCGTGCCGTGAAGCCTTCATTGTGGTGGTGTTCTCTTGCGTATTCTTGGTGTTATTTATGTGACATCTCTATTGTGTGTTCAATATAACCAAACAATTCTATGATGTTTTGGAGCAGGTCTATGGCCACAATAATTTTTAAAATAAAACGAAAGACAATGAAGAAGAAAAACAAAAATCTACACAAAAAATAGAAAAAGAAAACAGAAAACGAATTCTTTTTGGAGATGAGAATATGTAGAAGAACTAGTAAGAATGAAAGAACAGCGTTGATTCGTTTTCCCGTCGCCTTCATGTAGTGTTGACCTTTTTGTTTTGTGACTCTAAACATCCTGGACTGATTGTACGTAGCTGCATATTGAACACACACACACACACCCCACCTTTATCCTTTTTAGTAATGACGACCATGGCACTTTTTATGGACTTAGGACATGTTAAACATTTTTGGAATATCCATTGAATCCCCATAACTTTTTGACGAAAGCGGAACTAAACTATGGACTAAACGAAAAACTTAGCTTTGAAAAATTGCGATTTAATGAAATTAATTAAGCTTTTAGTTTTTAAACCCGTATAATCTTATATAAATTTTATCTAAATTATATTAATATTCCCATATAATATTTAAGAGACAATGGTTTTTATAATTACCTATGTTAGCGGTTGAACTAAGTCCGTGTATTGAAATTATATAATTTATAGATTTTAATGTATTAAGCAAAACCAATTTTTTTAATTTTCCCCAGAAAGTTTTATAACGCGACCTACCGACCCACTTATATCGCCTCCATACTCTTATATTTACAACGCTTTTAACGAATTTATACGCCACACACAATATTCTCAAATAAAAGTATTCAACAAAAAAATGTACAACTTGATGTTTTTCTTTAAGTATTTAGAGTGCAGATATTGTAGTCTGTCCGTCAGAAAAATTGAAAAAACACTTAGGGACTTATGTGAAGATCGGACGACGCCTTCTTATCAAATGATAGTTTAACTTTATAAATAAAGTTAGAAGATATTTTTAACCAGCAAGCTCTTTTTTTAGTAGACCAGAAGATATTATTTTTAATAAGGCGTGGCATAACCTGTACATCGCATATTTACACAAAGAGTGTCGCATCTTAAAAAATCAGTACTGAGAAAAATGCATTTTATGTTATCGATTAAAATTTGACTTACCGAATTAAAAAGATTATTGGTTTGTTCCAGAACTCCAACAGTGTAGAAGTATTTACCACGATAGCCGATTTTTACTGTACGATATCGAAAAAAAATTCCAAAATTAGTGGATTCTTACAGTTTCTAAAACTGGTTATCTGTAAAGTGGCTATTACATATCAGTTCTAAATTTCCGTGCAAGATCAAGTATGGTTTCTAAGCGATTTATAAACTTAATATACACTTTTGTTGACTTATGTCAAACTTCAAATAAACCAGTAAGGAAAAGTCAAAATTCGGGCGGGGCTGACTATTTGAATCTCTACACCTCTGCATATTTAGTAGACCTCCGTAAAAAAAGAATTTATTTGAAGCAGATCATACCAATTATGAACATTTGGCTTTAGGGAGGCATATCCAATTCTCAATCGATTTTCGTTAAATTTGATGGAGACATTCTAATCTTTTTTACCAAACCACATTGCAAAAGAGTGTATGATATCACTTCGAGGAGGATTATATTAAAAAAATATCGAAGCCGAGTACGTCCCGAAATGCACTTCATTTGGGTTGATATTAGCCATTATTTACACAATAAACCTGAAATCGGATTAAGGATATTTGGGACCTATATCCAAATCTAAGCCGATCTCTATCATTTTTGGTAAAGCTATTCCGAGCTCTATAAGATGTACCAGATATCTTATAGAGCTATCATTGTTGTCGAATGTAGATTACGAACGTGAGGGACTTAAACGCAAAATCGGATGGAACATATGCAGGGTGAGCGCCATGGTGATGGATCGCCATGACAGCCGATGGTCGCTCTCCGCTCGTATTAATCGACCGTGGCATCAGAATATGTATATAATTTGATACGGTCAAAATAGCGGTGCCTAGTCGAAATAGCGGTTTTAGACCCTAGGTCTCTTTGGACCAAATCCGTTTCAGGACATTTGGAGTCGATCTACCGATTTCCGTTCATCCGGCCGTCCGTCTGTCTGTCTCTCTCGAAGGGATTATCCGATTTGGTCCAAACTTGGTACATCGTAATCTTTTTGTCAAACGTAGATTGAGTTCGGAGATCGGTAATATCGGTCCACTCCTTCTGGTACTTCCCCCACAAAAGGCCGACATTTTCAAGAAAAAATCTTTTCTGCACAGAAAGTTAAGCAATAATCCGATTTTGCTCCAACTTTACAAATCCTAATATTTGCGTAAGTTCTAGGTCAGGTACAAAAATGGATAATATCGGTCCACTTCATCAAGTACTTCCCCCACAAAGGGTAAAAATTTTGAATAATTATAACTCCTATAAAATGTGATGTAAGAGTCTAATTGTCTACGAATTTCACACATCCCAATATTTATGTTAACCCAAGGTCTGGTGTTAAGATGGAATATATCGGTCCACTCCTTCTGGTACCACCCCCACAACAGGCCGACATTTTCAAGAAAATATTTTCTGCACAGAAAGAGAAGCAATAATCCGGTTTTGTTTAAACTTTACAAATCCTAATATTTGCGTCCGTTCTAGTTCAGGTGCATAGATGGATAACATCGGTCCACTTCATCAAGTACCTCCCCCACAAAGGATCCAAATTTTGAATAATTACAACTCTTATAAAATGTGATGTAAGTGTCCGATTGTCTTCGAATTTTCTCATTCCAATATTTTTATTAACCCACTGCTTCTGGTACCTCCCACACAAAGGGTCAAAATTTTGAATAACCAAAACGTTAATAAAATCCGAAATAAGCATTAGGTTCTCTTATTTCACACATCCCATTATTTCTATTAACACAATATCTGTTGTAAAGATGGAATATAACGGTCGACTACTTCTGGTAATTCCCCCATAAAGGCTTAAAATTGTTAATATTCATGAAGCTCATAAAACGCGAAATTTACATCCGAGTCCATTAAGACTTGGTACATCTCAATATTTCCATCAATGCAAGATCTCTTATAAAGGTGGTAGAGATCGGACTTTTTCTTCTGGTATCTCCCCACATACGGTTCAAGCTGTTGATAAACCAGACGCCCAAAGAAAGCGATATAAATGGCATATATCTGCGAACCCCTTCTGGTACCTCACCCACAAAGGGTCACAATTTTCAATACTTTTATATGTCATAACTTGAGACACAAATCAGCGATTCCTTACAACTTGCCATGCGTAAATATGCCTCTCTCAACCTGAACCCTGATATGAATATGAAATTGATCGGAATTTAGGGTAAGTGTACCAGTAGTCGGCACTTTTAGGATTTTCGCATTTTTAATCGCTCACCATTCTGAGTGGAACTTTTCAATTATTAAAAGTTAATTTATTCAGATTCGAAATTTTTTATAGTTTTTGCAACAATAAATAATGTTTTAATAACATTTTATTAAATTTCATAAATTTGTAGTTTTATTAAAACAATGCTTTTTTACCAGTAGTCGGAACCACTTGCCAATTGTCGGTATGGTATGTTCCAATAGTCGGCATACCAATTTTTTTGTAAGAATAATTAATAATAATAATAATAATAAATTAATTCATTAAAATATATACTATTTATGTTTAGTTAAACTGATTCGACGTCTTTATTGTACTTTTCTTAAGAATATGGATTGTTCAGGACCTTCACAGACAAAAATTTAATTTTTATTAGAATAAATCATATTTTCTTAGCGAAATTGTACACAAAGATAGCTGACAATATATTTGAAGTAAACAAAATACATTTAGTAATAATAGCTTCATTTATTTGGGCTTAAAAATAAAAAGTGCCGACTACTGGGACATGCCGAACTTAGGCACACTTACCCTATATGATTTTATATATAAATATTCGTTTTTTTTCTGTAATTTTGTGCATCTCTATCTTTATTAGATGAAGTATAAAATGGAATACTTCGGATTATTGGTACCTCATGCACATTTTAACATTTTCTAAAAATTTCTAAAAAACATATCTCATATAAAATGAAGAAAATAGTCGATGCAATCCAACCTGTCATGCCACAATATTTATGTCATATTTATTTAGGTCCGATACGATACGGATAATATTGGCCCATTCATGTGGAACTTACTTCATAGAACAATTTGAATAATCATAACACAAGTCTAAATATATTTAAATAATCGAACATAGGCTGAGGGTATACATCTGTCGGCAAAGCAGACTGACACTTTTTAACTTGTTCCAAAAATTATATTGTTCCAAATTTAGGTCAAGGATTTTGACTTTTGTTGTTTAGAAATTGTTTTCCGGATCAATTAAAAGCCAATCTTGTAAACAACATTAAAACATTGCAGTTAACCCAAGAAAAGTTCAAAAATCTTCAAAACAAAATTAGCTCCAGCATTGTAATTATAATTTTTGTTTTATTATGAACAATTTTTCTTAAAATTAAACAACATTTTAATTAAATTAATGTAGGTCTTTGTTGTTATTATAATTATATTTGAATGTCAGAGCACATTTGTCCGTATCTGTCTGTCTGCTGAGAAGACCACAAGTGCAAAAAAAACAAGTAAGCAAAGGCTACAGTCGAGCGGGGCCGACCGTTGAATACCCTACAACACTATAATAAACGATACAGTTCATATAAGCGAGATACTCGAAAGAATTCCGCAAGATATTGTGACAAATAATAAAAGAAAACCATCAGGTTTCGTTCTCTAATTTTCGAATAATAGCAACTTAAACTAATTTGCTCATTTCAAATTTATTGGTAGATGTTGCACGTAAATGGTCTTCCTAGATCTGGAACCAATATTTCCCAAAGACCCATAGTCTCTCAGAAGTGGCAAAAGATTAACATTTATTATTGGCTCTTGACTGAAATGCATCTATATGAGATACAGACATTTGACAATATTCTTCAACGAAATCAGCGTTAACGAAATAGTCAGTAGTGCGTCTTTCCTGTATTTGTGAATTCTCCAAAAAGTCACTGGAATCGACATTTTCGTATTTTGTCTACAAAAGTTGGCAAACTATTTCACACATTGAATATTTTTGGATGGCCATCCAAAACTGCTTGGCTTTTGCAATGTGCGGTAACCCCCATTCAAATGTGCGCGAGGATCGGGCGACAATTACGACCTGCAGACAATGTTGCATTTTTTTGGTCCATTTCAACCTCTAAATATATGGCGATCATCTCCAAAAAGAGTAGGATTCTATTCTGATCCCCATGCAAAATTTCGTAAGGATCGGGCCATAAATGCGATCTGTATATGATATACTGATATCCTTTCTACTTAGTTTTGTTAGCTGTAGAAATTTTACTAAATGTTTAATTCAAAATGAAAATATGCCAAAAATATGACAAAATTGAAAAAATATGAGAAAATTTTACAAAATCAATATTTTCATCTTTATAGAGATATTTTTATGCGATTTTTTAAGACGTTTTTTCTTTCCTGCCAAGACGCCATTCTGAATTAATGAGAACTGTCGAAATCAGTTCAGCCGTTTTCGACTTATAAGAGATCTTTCAAGCATATCTTCTTTGATAGGCATATATATCGCACATATTTTGCTATATATCCGATGTTAACATCAAAGTAAAGGTCAGAAGTAACCTTGTGATGGCCTTGTGATTTCGCCGGGATTTAAAATATTCACGGTTTAATGAAAAATTTTGATTTTTTTCAACACAAAAGATATGGTCTATTTTACCCGCTAAATATTATCCGATGACCACCCAAATTGGTAGGCTTCTTCCCCGCCCTAAACTTTAGCTACATGCGAAATACCGCGTCGATTGGTCTATAAATGCGACCTGTATAGCTACTGCAAAATCCGACATTTTTTCAGTATTTGGTCCATTTCAACCCCTAAACATTTGGCGATCATCTCCAAAAGAAATAGGGTTCTATTCTGACATTAACCCCACCTCCATATTAAATTTCGTGAAGATCGGGCCATAATTACGACCTGTAGAGTGATTACAAATTAACATGGACAGACGGACAGACGGACGGACGGACATACATAGCTAGATCGACTCAGCTCGGCGAGCTAGGAAGATCCATATATACTTTCCTATGTGGGAAACCAATATTTCGTGGTGTTACATAATTTTTGGCCCAATCAAACTTATAATACCCCCAACACATAGTGTTGTAGGGTATAAAAAAACTTTCCCTGAAAGCAAGACAACTCAATTCCTTCCCGTTTGCTTCCGTCCTTTTATGGTTACGGGTTTGAGCAAAATCATAGAAGAAGCTATTAAAAAATTATTATCTTTTTATGGCAGTTTATACAATAACAAAAACACAACATTAAATCAGGCAAGCTGGCTAACTGGGTGACCGTCCAACAGTCGGGCAGGCAACATCCTTATTTTATTTGGAACAATGTCAGGGTTGCATCCGTTTTTTGAAAATGAATATTGGTATGACTTCCAGGGCGGTATGCTTGATGGTGATGATACCAACAAATGAATCGCTGCTCCATCTACCTACCACCTATTTGTATTCAGTTTGTCTTTCTTGTTCGGCTTCGTCTTGCTTCATATTTATTAAATTTCCTTTTAACAAAAACGTTGCCAGCCACAATGATGTAGATGTTAAAGGAAACCACTACACTTGAATGCATTTGTCCCTTTGTGTGTGTGTGTGTGTGTGTGGGATAGTGTATGTATCTGTGCGGCTGGATGTTTGTGCTCCATGGAATGCTTGTTGATGGCCTGCCAGCCTGAATGCTTGTTGGCTTGTTGGCTTGTTGCCTTGCCGTGAATGAATGTGTTTTTCTTACTGGTGTTGTCTTTGTTGGTTTCTGGTTGGGAATAGTAGTTGGTGGTCAGTTCGCTGTTTTAGTATTCATTTACTACTCGTGTCTTCATCGTTATCGTCAACATCGGCATCGTTATTGTGGTCGTTGTTGGGATGCATTACAGTTGAAAGGGTCTCTGTAAAATTTCCTCAACTTCACGTTTGTGCACTTTGCCAATGCCAGTTGCAGATGTTGGCGCCTCAACACGTCCACAGTACACAAGCTGTTGAGCAGAATAAAGGGAACAGAGAGAGAGAGTGAGAGAAAAGAAAAAAATATATAAAAATTAAATAATTAATTACACAGGAATAAAAGTTAAGGTATATATATAAATTTAAAAAAAAAAAAAACTTTTGATATTGATTTTGGAGAAAATTATATACTTAAAATACCTCTAAAGGATCATCTGCGAATGGGATTTATCTACACAAAAGAAGGAAGGATTGTATCATACGTGGATGTTATGTTAATGATCCAATTACAACCTTATTTTCAGTACAAACCCATCCCGCTTTAGTTTGTGTTTAAAATAGCGGAACTGTCGAGGTAGAGATACTTGGCATATTCACACTGTAGTTTATTTTTATACCCTCCACCAAAAAAAGTATGGAGGGTATATTAAGTTCGTCATTCCGTTTGTAACTCATCGAAATAACCATTTTAGACCCAACAAAGTATATATATTCTTGATCAGCGTAAAATTCTAAGACGATTTAGCCCTGTCCGTCCGTCTGTCCGTCTGTTGTAATCACGCTACAGTCTAAACGAATTAAGATAGGAAGCTAAAATTTTGCACAGATCTCTCTTTTGCCTGCAGGCAGGTCAAGTTCGAAGATGGGCTATATCGGTCCACGATATCGTATAGCCGCCATATAACGGTATCCCCGATATTCGGTATTTTGATGATGTTAGCCACATTTCAATGGAACTGTCTGAAAATCCACACAAGTAGTCCTTGCGAGTACTTTACCCCCTGAGAGAGAATTGTCTATACAGGTCCACGATATCGTACATCCCCCATATAACGGTACCCCCCGATATTCGGTATTTTGATGATTTTACCCACATTTTTCAACGGAATTGTCTGAAAATCCACACAAGGAGTTCCTTGTGGGTACTTTATACCTCGGCAGAGAATTATGTATATAGGTCCACAATATCGTATAGCCCCCATATAACGGTACCCCCACGGTATTCGGTATTTTGACTATTTTAGCCACATTTTTCAATGGAATAGTCCGAAATTCCACAGAAGGAGTCCCTTGTGGGCATTTTACCCCCTCAAAAAGAATTGTCTATATCGGTAAACGATATCGTATAGCCCCCATATAACGATACCCCTGATATTCGGTATTTTGATGATGTTAGCCACATTTTTCAATGGAATTGTCTGAAAATCCACACAAGTAGTTCCTTGCGAATACTTTACCCCCTGAGAGAGAATTGTCTATTCAGTTCCACGATATCGTACATCCCCCATATAACGGTACCCCCCGATATTCGGTGTTTTGAAGATTTTACCCACATTTTTCATCGGAATTGTCTGAAAATCCACACAAGGAGTTCCTTGTGGGTACTTTATACCTCGGCAGAGAATTATCTATATAGGTCCACGATATCGTATACCCCTCATATAACGGTACCCCCGATATTCGGTATTTTGATGTTTTTAGCCATATTTTTTCACGGAATGGTCACCAGGGGTTCTTTGTACACAAGGGGTTCTTTGTGAGCACTTTACCCCCCGACAGAGAATTCTCTTTATAGGTTAACGATAACGTATAGCTCCCATATAACGGTACCCCGAGATATTCGGTATTTTAATGATTTTAGCTACATTTTCCAATCGATTTGTCTGAAAATCCACACACGGAGTTCTTTGTGAGCACTTTACCCCTGAAACGGAATTGTCTATATAGGTCCACAATATCGTATATCCCCCATATAAAAGTACTCCCCTATATTCTGAAAATCCACACAAGGAGTTCCTTGTGAGTACTTTACACGCAGACATAGATTTGTCTTTATAGGTCCACAATATCGTATATCCCCCCATATATCGGCACCTTCCTATATTAGATATTTCAAAGATTTTAAAAAAAATTTTAATGGATTTTATTTTTTTTTGAAAATTTTCTAATTCGTTCCTAATGGTGGAGGGTATTCAAAGTTCGGCCCGGCCGAACTTACAGCTGTTTTACTTGTTTATCTTGCCTTCCACTATTTAGGCTACTTTGAGAGGTAAGGCAAGGCAAAAAATTGAAACATTATACCTGTGTTCGAATATACAAAGTGGGACTAAGTTTTCCAAAAGTCAGCGGGATTAGCGAAAGATTGCGGTAGATGAGAACTAGGGAAATGAAATGAATAGGTCGTGGGCAACGGTTTAAACGTTTTCAAACTCTGACATAATGGATGATAGGAACTCAGCAACGTTTGAGAAGATAATGGTGACTGATCCGAAGGGGTGATCATTTTATTATAACCGACAACCTTGAGAGCAATAGACTAAACCTATCGTATCCGATCTTTTGGAGCAAATACCCTCGAGAGGTTTTCTGTATAACTCCGAAATCCTCAAGAATCCGAAAAGAGAACGAAACACATACTCCTGCTAGTAGAATAAGTACAAGTATGGGAGTAAAATGCTTTCAAAATGTCTCTTCTCGGTTTTTGTGTACGATCTACCCCTCAGTCCACAGCAACATCAATACATACACGAACACAAAAATCAAACCAAATAATTTTTTTCCACTCGATTTTACTGTTTGGATAAAGTCTAACTCACTTTCGAGCGTTTCAACACTCATGCTAACTTTTCAAGCAGGAGTAGTTCGCAAATGCTCTCACATAGACCAAAAACTTGGAGAGACAGCTTCTTAAAAACCCAATTCTTTGAGCACTCGGCACCAGGTTTTACTTGCGAATGAAACAAGTTAATTTGAGCTCTGAGGTTGCGTATAAAGAAAAGTTTTTTGTAGAATTTTTAAAGGGTCTTCTTTCTTAGACCAACTGATATGTTTTCTATGCATGGTAGTTCTATTTGAGAACTGTTCTATATATAGAAGACCTTTAGGAAAATTTTTCTGATAGAGAAGCCTAGAGATGATATAGAAAAAGAGAAAATATGATACTTTTCACACAGAGAAAGATATTTTCTAGATACGACAGCCATAGAGAGACTTTGCAAATTGTTCATAAATATAAGATCCCGATAGGTCTAATACAGTATGAAGTTCTTTGAAATCTCTTCCCTTAATACGAGTGCATTTGAGCTCTTTTATTAATATTGCTTTTGAGAGGTCTTTTGAGAGATCGCCGTTAAGACCCTTGGAGAGGTCTCTTACGATTAGAGGACTAAATCCTTTTAAAGAAGAGCCATTGAAAGGTATAGGTTGAAAGTTCTGCTATTCATATAGTCCACTGTCCTTTGTGAGGTCTTCTACAACGAAGATCCTTTTAGTTTTCTCTTTTGGCTAAGTCTACGATACATGGAAGTCGCTATGTAGTAAACCCTTTAAGGTGTATTTTGAGAGACCTCTGGAGAATTCTTCTGCACAAAATTATACAACATCGTGATCATTCCTTCGCTTTTTCGCTCAGTGTACATCGGTGATAAGCCCTAAGTTCCATCAGAAAGAAAACAAAATTAAATACTTTTGTATGACTTATATTCCTGAAAGAACATGATTGTCGACGGAGATGCAGTTAACGGAAATGGTCGAGGAAATACTTTCTGGTACGTACGAACGTACGATTCCGAACATGAGAATGCGTTTACAAGATTTCGAAGTTGAATTCAACAATTAAGTGGAAAGTTATTTAAGTTGTAAATGCGATTATGACAAAAGATTAAAAATTGTTGCAATAATTGTTCACTTAAGAGTTTAAATGCGGATGTGTGTGTGTGAGTGCGTGCGTAAAAACGATGCGGTGCTACTTAAGAAGGCAACATTTTTTTCGAATTGACTTTTAATTATAACAATTGTATATATTTGTGTGAGTGTGGAAATGCGAGAAAAAACTGCAACGCAGTGATGGTCATAAATTTGAGAAAAGTATTTAGCGAAAAATAAAAATAAATAAGGTTCTGTGAAAAATAAAGAAAGTTTTTTTTTCCACGTGAATATGCAGATATGTCGGAGATAAGAAATGTCATGAGTTGCACTATTCAAAATGTTTTTTCTCGATAGGATTACCATAATTCAGAACTCTAATTAAGTTCATTACCTTCATCTCATGAAATCCCTAAAATCATTACCTTTTGTCCCAACAGATTTTCAAAACGTGGCTGAACGAATGTCCATGCACCCATATTGCGATGCTCTTCCTGGGCCCAGATGAAAGCTGAAAAACACATTTTTTTTGAAATTATTTTAAACTTTTCAAAATTCGCTAAACTTTCTTACTTTTGGCATTTTTATATTTCTCCAATTCCTTTTGCAGTTCATAGGTGGGGAACGGGCACAACGATTCCAGTCTTATTATGGCAGTATCTTGTAAATTCTTCGATTGTCTAACCTCGTCGAGGGCATAGTAATGTTTGCCCGAACACAATATGACCCGCTTCACAGCATCCGGTCGAACACTAGTCGTATCACCCAAAACATTCAGAAATTGGGTACCTGGCTCAAAGTCCTTGTAGGTGGATGTGGCAGCCGATAGACGTAGCAATATTTTTGGAGCAACCACCACCAAGGGCTTACGGTAATTGCGTACCAATTGTCTGCGCAAGACATGGAAATATTGAGCCGGGGTCGTGGGATTAACAATTTGTACATTGACATTATCGCTGTCGGGAGCGGTTTCCTTCGAATCGCACAGCTGAAGGAAACGTTCGATGCGACAGGAACTATGCTCGGAGGCAGCTCCATCATAACCATGAGGCAGGAGAATTACCAGGCCGTTAGAATCCATCCATTTTGCTGGAAAAAAAGAGAAGAAGAAAAATAACAAGTAAGCAAAGGCTACAGTCGAGCGGGGCCGACCGTTGAATACCCTACAACACTATAATAAACGATACAGTTCATATAAGCGAGATACTCGAAAGAATTCCGCAAGATATTGTGACAAATAATAAAAGAAAACCATCAGGTTTCGTTCTCTAATTTTCGAATAATAGCAACTTAAACTAATTTGCTCATTTCAAATTTATTGGTAGATGTTGCACGTAAATGGTCTTCCTAGATCTGGAACCAATATTTCCCAAAGACCCATAGTCTCTCAGAAGTGGCAAAAGATTAACATTTATTATTGGCTCTTGACTGAAATGCATCTATATGAGATACAGACATTTGACAATATTCTTCAACGAAATCAGCGTTAACGAAATAGTCAGTAGTGCGTCTTTCCTGTATTTGTGAATTCTCCAAAAAGTCACTGGAATCGACATTTTCGTATTTTGTCTACAAAAGTTGGCAAACTATTTCACACATTGAATATTTTTGGATGGCCATCCAAAACTGCTTGGCTTTTGCAATGTGCGGTAACCCCCATTCAAATGTGCGCGAGGATCGGGCGACAATTACGACCTGCAGACAATGTTGCATTTTTTTGGTCCATTTCAACCTCTAAATATATGGCGATCATCTCCAAAAAGAGTAGGATTCTATTCTGATCCCCATGCAAAATTTCGTAAGGATCGGGCCATAAATGCGATCTGTATATGATATACTGATATCCTTTCTACTTAGTTTTGTTAGCTGTAGAAATTTTACTAAATGTTTAATTCAAAATGAAAATATGCCAAAAATATGACAAAATTGAAAAAATATGAGAAAATTTTACAAAATCAATATTTTCATCTTTATAGAGATATTTTTATGCGATTTTTTAAGACGTTTTTTCTTTCCTGCCAAGACGCCATTCTGAATTAATGAGAACTGTCGAAATCAGTTCAGCCGTTTTCGACTTATAAGAGATCTTTCAAGCATATCTTCTTTGATAGGCATATATATCGCACATATTTTGCTATATATCCGATGTTAACATCAAAGTAAAGGTCAGAAGTAACCTTGTGATGGCCTTGTGATTTCGCCGGGATTTAAAATATTCACGGTTTAATGAAAAATTTTGATTTTTTTCAACACAAAAGATATGGTCTATTTTACCCGCTAAATATTATCCGATGACCACCCAAATTGGTAGGCTTCTTCCCCGCCCTAAACTTTAGCTACATGCGAAATACCGCGTCGATTGGTCTATAAATGCGACCTGTATAGCTACTGCAAAATCCGACATTTTTTCAGTATTTGGTCCATTTCAACCCCTAAACATTTGGCGATCATCTCCAAAAGAAATAGGGTTCTATTCTGACATTAACCCCACCTCCATATTAAATTTCGTGAAGATCGGGCCATAATTACGACCTGTAGAGTGATTACAAATTAACATGGACAGACGGACAGACGGACGGACGGACATACATAGCTAGATCGACTCAGCTCGGCGAGCTAGGAAGATCCATATATACTTTCCTATGTGGGAAACCAATATTTCGTGGTGTTACATAATTTTTGGCCCAATCAAACTTATAATACCCCCAACACATAGTGTTGTAGGGTATAAAAATATGTGTGTCAAATTTAATTTATATATTTTTTTATTTTATATAAATTATTAAAAGAAAGAGGAAATTGTTACACAAGTAAAAAAGCTGTAAGGTCGAACTTTGAATACCCTCCATCATTTAGAAAGAATTTGGCAATTCTCAAAAGCAATAAAATCCGTTAAAAATTCAATTAAATCTTAAAAATACCTAATGTAGCTGTTATATTAGCGTTTTTACGACGACATGGACCTGCATAGGTAACTTTTGTCATAAGCCTTTACAATATTCAAATGCGAAACTTAAAAAAAAAAACAAGTAAAAAAGCAGTAAGTTCGGTCGGGCCGAACTTTGAATACCCTCCAACATTTGGAACGAATTAGAAAATTTAAAATCCATTAAAAATTCTGTTAAAATCTTAAAAATACCAAATATCGGAAAGTGCCGATATATTGGGCGGATTTACGATATTGTGGACCTATATAGACATATCTCTTTCAGGGGGTAAAATACTCATAAGGGGCTATTTGTGGGGAAAGTTCCCACAAGGACCTCCTTGTATGGATTTTCAGACAATTCCGTTAAAAATGTGGGTAAAATCATCAAAATACCGAATATCGGGGCGTACCGTTATATGGGGGATATACGAAATCGTGGACCTATATAGACAATTCTCTTTCAGGGGGTAAAATACTCATAAGGGGCTATTTGTGTGGAAAGTTCCCACAAGGACCTCCTTGTGTGGATTTTCAGACTATTCCGTTGAAAAATGTGGGTAAAATCATCAAAATACCGAATATCGGGGGTACCGTTATATGGGGGTTATACGATATCGTGGACTTACTTAGACAATTTACTCTCAGGGGGTAAAGTACTCACAATTTATTACTTGTGTGGATTTTAAGACAATTCCATTGAAAAATGTGGCTAACATCATCAAAATACCGAATATCGGGAGGTACAGTTATATAGGGAATATACGATATCGTGCAAATATATAGGCATTTCTTTTTCAGGGGGTAAAATGCGCACAAGGGACTCCTTTTGAGAAATTTCAGACAATTCCATTGAAAAATGTGGCTAAAATCATCAAAATACCGAATATTGGGGGTACCATTATATGGGGGCTATACGATATCGTGGACCGATATAGCCCATCTTCGAACTTGACCTGCCTGAGAGAGAGATCTGTGCAAAATTTTAGCTTCCTATCTTAATTCGTTTAGACTGTAGCGTGATTACAACAGACGGACAGACGGACGGACAGGGCTAAATCGTCTTACAATTTTACGCTGATCAAGAATATATATACTTTGTTAGGTCTAAAATGATTATTTCGATGAGTTACAAACGGAATGACGAACTTAATATACCCTCCATACTATGTATGGTGGAGCGTATAAAAATCGGTGAATAATGTAGGTAAAATCATCAAAATACGGAATATCGGGAGGTACCGTTAAATGGGGGCTATACGAAGGCGTGGACCTGCACAGACAATTTTCTGCCATAGGCTGTAATATCCATTACGAATTTCAAAGACCAAATGTGGAACATTTCCCGTGAAAAATGTCGCTTAAATCACCAAAATACCGAAAATGAGGAGGTACAATTATATGGGGTCTATACCAAAACGTGGACCTACATGACCCATTTTCAATACGCAAAGTCCTGCTGACATAATATACATTTCAGTAACATTTTATCAATCTACTTCATTTTGTTAGGAAGCTAGAGTGATTTCCACAGACGATAGACGGGCGACATAGAATTTTATGCTGATCAAGAATATATATACTCTGTGGGGTCTAAATTGTATATGACAATCTTAATATACCCTCCATACTATGGTGGAGGGTATAAAAATTCGTGGTCAAAATTAAGTTGAGTGTAGAGTATTCTCAAATCAATGAAAATCGCACTCACATATCAAAAAGTCTAAAAGTCCTAGTGACTATTTCCTTTGCCTGGATGAAGTCATGATATTGGTAGCAATCGGCAAATATTGCCGATTACTCTCTGTAATGAAGAGGAAAATGAAGTTAAGGAAATACTTCAAACACAAGCAATAATTTTTCGAAATGGAAAATATATATAATACTTTTTTAAATTCAATATTCCGAATAATAATTTCTAAAATCACAGCCTCAGCTTTTCTTAAAAAAAAACTTTACCCCGAAAATTCATCAAAAACCCATAGTATAAGCCTTTATTTAATTTTTTAAAATTAAGAATCATGGCTAAAGCCCTTTAAATGTTTTTTTTTCAATCCCCAATTTTCGTCGGTTCTTATATATAATTTTTGTCAATTTGCTTTTCGATTCACACAAAATTTCAAATACTCACTTTCACCGGAAACAATAAAATTATCGATGATTATCTGTGCCCCATTGGCAAAATCACCAAATTGTGCTTCCCAAATAATCAGATTATCGGGATTATCAATTGCCATGCCGTACTCATAGGCCAGTACAGCTTCTTCGGAGAGGATGCTGTGAGCCACTTCCAATTTGCCCGATTTACCCTCGTTCAAACCATTCAAAGGTATGAACATTTCATTGCTCTCCTGATCGACCAACATGACATGACGATGTGAAAAGGTGCCACGTCCAACATCCTCACCACTAATGCGTACATTGTACCCTTGATACATGAGGCTGCCAAGGGCCAAGGCTTCGGCCGTTGCCCAATCGATTTTCTGTCCCTCATTGAGTTTTTTGCGACGACCATCGATGTGGGTCTTCTTTAGATGTGGGTGAACTTTCTGTAACCAAAATATAGAAGGGAAAAGGGGAAGAAAACATAAAACAAAAACATTAACTGGAATACTGGGTGGGGCGGGATTTTAAATATCCATTAATCATTGGCATTAATTACAATACCGTTTTTGTGTTTTTGTTTCTATTTCATGTCAATTTTTGTTTTGTTTTCGAGTGTCACTTACAAAGCCTTCTGGGTATGCCACACTTTGTTGTCCAATATAATTGAGCAGACCATAATCGAGGCCTGTATCCCAATAGGTTATCGCATCACTAGACGCTGTGGTTATGTGCTTCCATTGTTTTTGGAAATAGTTTGGTTCGGGTTTGTATTTCGGCACCAACAACAATTCCTCATTCAGATAGGCCATGTATTGTGAGCGGATGTTGGTTGCCTCCTCTGGGCTTAGCACGGATTGTTGTATTAATTTTTCAGTATACAAATCAGGAACGGATCTAATGGGGTGAGAGGGAAGAGTAATGGAACTCATTAGCAAATTTGCTAATTTATTGAATAGTCATGAATATATCAAGTAGAGACAGAGACACAGAGAGAGAGAGAGAGAGATAGAGATACAAGCAAGGACGTGTTGGGCAATCATAATCTTTGAAACAAATTCATAGTGGTAACTCTGACGACTCTTCTTGAAATTTGTAATCCTTAAGGAAACTTCTTCAAAAAATTGTTTAAAAAATTACGTTTAACCCTTGAAGAAATTTTAAAAGATCCACTTAAGGCCTTGAATAATTTTCACCATAATGTGGGTGAAACTGTTGTTTAGGGGCCACACCAAAACGGGAACCTCTATAGACAATTTTATACTTCAAGGATTGTCATCTACCAAATCTTCATAAATACCAAATTTGAAACAATTTCGTGGGTAAATGTGACTACAGGGAGAGCAACCAACTTCAGACTGCTGTCATTTCTAAGCCACTCGTCCGACAGCTGTTTAAATTATTCCACTGACAGCTCATTATAAAAAAGTTATTCGTGATGGAATTCAAGCGTGATAGTGTGATTTCTTTATATTTGGCTGGTAAACCACAAGTGGCTATCGTTAGAGCACGCCAGCATTTAAATGTGAATAAATCTTTTGTGTCTCGTACCATCGCTTGTTACCGTGGGCGGAAGAAAGCAGCAACATCAGCAGGAATGGTTCGAAAAGTAAAGAAGCGACTTGATCGAAACCCGCATCGCAGTGGCCGAAAAATAGCTCGTGAGCTGAACATATCGCAATATTCCATTTGGAAAATATTGGAAAATGAGCTCGGGTTAAAGCCATTGAAATTTCAAAAAGTGTAAGAACTTACACCGCAACAGAAAGAAAATAGACTCAAAAGACCTAAAGAGTTGCTTCGCTTGGCCGAAAGTGGTGAACTGCCGAATTTGGTTCGTTGTCCATTCGTTTGTAAACGAAGAAAATTATCGTGTTTACTTGCCAAAGAGGTCAGCAAGCCATGGTGATGGTATGGGCCGCCATAACAGCCGATGGTCGCTCTCCTCTCGTATTATTCGACCGTGGCATCAGAATAAATGACGAATATTATCGTGAAAATATTGTGGAGGGTGTATTAAACGCTTGGACAAGCAAACATTTTGGCCGCAGACCTTAGACATTCCAACAGGACTCAGCACCATCCGACTCATCACGCCCCACCCAAAAATGGTTACAAAATGAGATTTCTCGCTTCATTTCCAGTGCATAATGGCCACCAAAATCTCCGGATCCCAATCCGTTGGACTATCGTATTTTGGAAAGCAAGGTTGGCGTTAAAAAATACCAAAGTGTCGATCACCACAAGCAAGCGCTTCGCCGGGAATGGACCAAAATACCGCAGAGCAACATTCGGGCAACATGTGACGGTTTCATTGGCCATAATTCGTGGCAATTCGAACAAATCTAAACTTATTCTAAAATTTGATGCTATTTCCGACATTTTTTGCTTTCATTCAATAAAATAAAAAAATAAAAATTATGGGGTTTGACTTTTTTGTAGTTTTTTTACCTCACCCTGTACTATGATTTTCTTAAATTTTTTGTTTTAAAAAATTCATGTCTAATGCTCTGATTGTCCTTGAAGAAATTTTCTTAAAAATATCTACGTCTAATACTCTGTATCTCCTTGAAAAAATTTTGTTAAAAAAATCAATGTGTAATAATCTGATTGTCCTTGAAGAACTTTTTTTTAAAAAACCACGTTCGGTACTCTGTTTGTCCTTGCAGAAAATTGTTCACAAATCCATGCGATGTAGTCTGATTGCCCTTGCAGAAAATATTTGGGAAATCCACGTTTGTTAGACGGATTGCGTTTGAAAAATTTTCTTAAAAATCCACGTCTATTAGTCTGATTTCAGGAAAAAAATACGTTTGGTATTCGGATTGTCCTTGCAGAAAATTTCCAAGCCAGATTTTTAATTGTCCTTTAAGAAAATTTCTTAAAAAATACACGTCTGGTACTCTTTTTGTCCTTCAAGACATTTTCTTAAAAAATCCACGTCTTATACCCTGAATATCCTTGATGAACTTTTCTTTAAAAAAAAGGATGTCTGGTAGTCTGATTATCCTTGCGGAATTTTTTTCAAAAATCCACGTTAGGTACTCTGATTGGTAAAATTCTTTAAATTCATGGTCCTTCACAATTTTCTTAAAAAAACTCATCTTTGTATATCCGATGGTTCTTTGAAATATTTTCTTAAAAAATCTACATTTATAACTCTTGAGAACATTTTCTCAAAAAATCTAAAAATCTTGCATCTCCGTCCTTGAAAATAATTAAGGGGTCCACCTGAAGATCCTTGCCATTTGATCTCCAATACTTACTTGCGATTATTAATAATACTATAAACTTTGGGATTGGTAAAAGTGGGATCATCCAGCTCATTGTGACCCCAGCGGCGGAAACAGTTCATATCGATGAAAACATCCTTGCGGAATTGACGTTGATAATCAAAGGCCAGTTTTGTCACCAAGGCCACCATTTCAGGATCATCGCCGTTAACATGGAATACTGGAGCCTGAATCGTCTTTGCCAAATCCGATGTGTAGTCTGTGGAACGACCTCTATCACCGGGTGTTGTGAAGCCCACCTGATTGTTGACAATCAAATGGATGCTACCACCCACCTCAAAATGGGGAACATAGGCCATATTCAAGCATTCTTGATTGATACCCTGACCCGCAAAGGCAGCATCACCATGTAGAATAATGTTCAAGGCCGATGAGGCAAATGGCTTCCCAGCCTCGTCACTGAAAGCACCATCCTTAAGCGTTTGCTGTTTGGAACGTGTTTTACCCATTGCCACGGGATTGGCAGCCTAAAAGAAAAGGATGTTGAGTAAGGTACAAAATCATCAATCAAGCTTTGGAAATTATTATTCCCCGACCTACCTCTAAATGTGAAGGATTCCTAACCATGCTCAAATGTATGGTTTTGCCATCAACTTGTAAATCTTCGGAGATATCTGTTTAAACATTCAAAACACAAATGCACACACACACACACATACAAAATAATATATCATTATTAGTGATGCATTTAACATATTTTTCGAAGGAATAAAAAAAAACATTTGTTGGCAACCATAAATCACTTGCTCCTGGCTGCCCCGACTAATAGAATAGAAACGTGTTCATAAAATACTTACGAAAATGACTTATTACATCTGACATCGCCTGGCAACCATCTGGAAATTCCGATTCGCCACTGAGTTTGTGGAAAACTTTTACCGGCCTCATTTGCAGGAGTATGGTTTGTAGGGCTGTTCGTCCACGATGGGGCATAGCAACCACAACGTGTTCAAGATCATCTGCAATGCAAGAGGGGGGAAGAGAGAGTGAGAGAGTTAGAGGAGGTTTTCATTAGAGTTTGAGTGAAATCCATGTAATTGCAGGTGGAATTTTAATTTTGGGGTTTTTCCTACCTAACAATGATTTATGATTGAAATTATGACACTCAGCCACTGAGTTTGGAATTGGAAAATTTTAATTTCACTTTCAATGCCAGGATATTGTCACTAATGGCTACGCTCAATTTGAAAGCAGCTTTCAATTTTCCTGCAGGCCACATGACAAGTTCGATGATGGATTGACATTGTTGCCATTTTGTGTATGATTGAGAGGTACATTCGAGGACACAGTTAGGATTAAAAGAACACTGAATCCATTGTTTGTTCTAAAAAGTGACTGATTGACAATTTGAAATATTCACGCTCAGACGAAATTATATAATTAAATAATAATGTATACCTGAATAATAATCGATGGCAACTTTTATAAGATTTCTCTCGCCGAAAAATTAGTTGTTTCATTGAATTTTTGATCTGACTGATTTATTTCAAACTGATGCACAAACATCCATTCTATTTGGAGGAAATTATGTATGGGAGGTCTACGAATATTTGTTAAACAAATTTTTAATTACAAGTATTGCAATGTTTGTTTTTTTTAGAGAAACCGGAGTCGATCGATAGGTGTTCGAAATTAATAACCATTTTATTGAGCGAAAAATAATATACCAATTAGGGACCGAAGGAGCAACAAAATACAGGGTGAGATGAAAAAACTGCAACCATCTTCTTACTGCTGTCATTTCTAAGGCACACATCCGACAGCTGTTAAAATTATGCCAGTGACAGCTCATTATATTGTTTACAAGCCTACAAAAGCATTTTGGTGAGAATTTTCCGTATGCAAAGTTACTCGTGATGGAATTCAAGCGTGATAGTGTGATTTCTTTATATTTGGCAGGTAAGCCCCAAATGGCTATCGTTACAGCACTCCAGCATTCAAATGTGAATGAAGCTTTTGTGTCTCGTTCCATCGCTCGTTACCGTGATACTGGTAACGTAGCCCGACGTCAAGGAAGTGGACGGAAGAAAACAACAACATCAGCAGAAGTGTTTCGAAAAGTAAAGGAGCAGTCGCCGAAAACTGGCTTGTGAGCAGAAAATATCACAATATTCCATTCGACAAATATTGAAAAATGAGCTCGGAGTAAAGCCATTGAAATTCCAAAAAGTGTAAGAACTTACATTGCAACAGAAAGAGTTATTTCACTTGACCAAAAATGGTGAACTGTCGAATTTGGTTTTCTCCGATGAGAAAACATTCGTTGTCCAGCCGTTTGCAAACAAACAAAATGATCGTGTTTACTTGCCAAAGAGGTCTGCTGAAAATGTGCACCTACGGTTGTCCGCCAGAACTCAAGCGCCGGCCACGGCCAGCCGATGGACCCCCTCCACTCGTATTAATCGACCGTGGCATCAGAATAAATGCCGAATATTATCGCGAAAATATTCTGGAGGGTGTATAAAAGCCTTGGCCACGCAAACATTTTGGCCGCAGACCTTGGACATACCAACAAGACTCAGCACCATCGCACTCACCACGCGCCACCCAAGAATGGTTAAAAAATGAGTTTCTTCGCTTCATTTCCAGCGTACAATGGCCACCAAAATATCCGGACTATTGTGCCTGGAGTATTTTGGAAAGCGAGGTTGGCACTAAACAAGTAAAAAACAAGTAAGCAAAGGCTACAGTCGAGCGGGGCCGACCGTTGAATACCCTACAATAAACGGTATAGTTTATATAGGCGAGATACTCGAAAGAATTCCACAAGATATTGTGACAAATAATAAAAGAAAACCATCAGGTTTCGTGCTCTAATTTTAACTAATTTGCTCATTTCCAATTTATTGGAAGATGTTGCACGTAAATGGTCTTCCTAGATCTGGAACCAATATTTCCCAAAGACCTATAATCTCTCAGAAGTGGCAAAAGATTAACATTTATTATTGGCTTTTGACTGTAACGCATCTATATGAGATACAGACATTTGACTATATTCTTCAACGAAATCAGCGTTAACGAAATAGTCAGAAGTGCGTCTTTCCTGTATTTGTGAATTCTCCAAAAAGTCACCGGAATGGACATTTTCATATTTTGTCTACAAAAGTTGGCAAACTATTTCACACATTGAATATTTTTGGATGGCCATCCAAAACTGCTTGGCTTTTGCAATGTCCGGTAACCCCCATTTAAATGTGCTTGAGGATCGGGCGATAATTACGACCTGCTCACAATTTTGCAGTTTTTTGGTCCATTTCAACCCCTAAATATATGGCGATCATCTCCAAAAAGAGTAGGCTTCTATTCTGACCCTCATCTTAACCCCATACAAAATTTTGTAGGGATCGGGCCATAAATGCGATCTCTATATGATATCCTGATATCCTAACTACTTAGTTTTGTTAGCTGTAGAAATATTACCAAATGTTTAATTCAAAATGAAAATATGCCAAAAATATGACAAAATTGAAAAAATATGAGAAAATTTACAAAATCAATATTTTCATCTTTAGAGAGATATTTTTATGCGATTTTTCAGGCGTTTTTCCTTTCCTGCCAAGAGGCCATTCTGAATTAATGAGAACTGTCGAAATCAGTTCAGCCGTTCTCGACATATAAGAGATCTTTCAATAATACCTTCTTTGATAGACATATATATCGCACATATTTTGCTATATATCCGATTTGTTGGATGTTATCATCAATGTAAATTTCGCCAGGATTTAAAATATTCGCGGTTTAATGCAAAATTTTGAATTTTTTCAACACAAAAGATATGGTCTATTTTACCCGCTAAATATTATCCGATGACCACCCAAATTGGTAGGCTTCTTCCCCGTCCTAGCTACATGCGAAATTCCGCGTCGATTGGTCTATAATTGCGACGTGTATAGCTACTGCAAAATCCGACATTTTTTCAGTATTTGGTCCATTTCAACCCTTAAACATTTGGCGATCATCTCAAAAAGAAATAGGGTTCTATTCTGACCCAAACCCCACCTTCGTGCAAAATTTCGTAAGGATCGGGCCATAATTGCGACCTGTAGAGTGATTACAAATTAACATGGACAGACGGACAGACGGACGGACGGACATACATAGCTAGATCGACTCAGCTCGGCGAGCTAGGAAGATCCATATGTACTTTCCTATATGGGAAACCAATATTTCGAGGTGTTACATAAATTCTGGCCTAATCAAACTTATAATACCCCCAACACATAGTGTTGTAGGGTATAAACATTAAGTTCGGCCGAGCCGAACTTTTAATACACTCCACTTTAGAGTATGGAAACATTAGAACCAATCATGACCCACAAATACCAATTCTTAGACATATTTGTGGAAAAATGTGGCAAAAATCATCAAATACCGAATATCGGGAGGTAAAGTTATATGTGGGCTATGCCAACACGCAAAGTTTCGCCACCGGAGCTAGAACCCATTATGACCAACAAATACCAATTTTTAGACAAATCCATGAAAAAATGTGGCAAAAATCATTAAAATACTGAATATCGGGATGTACCGTAATATGGGAACTATACCAAAACGTGGACCTAGACACAATACAAATTATTCTGCTAAATTTTGACGCTCTACGTCAAATAATGTGGGCTGTATCTTGATTTCAACAGACAGACAGACAGACGGACATCGTTAAATCGTCTTAGAATTTTATGCTGATTATGAATATATATACATTATGGGGTCTACGACGAATATTTAGGGATGTTAAAAACGAAACCTTTCCAAGGTGGAGGCTATATAAATACCAAGCGCTTCACCGGGAATGGGCCATAATACCGCAGAGCAAAATTCGGCAATGTGTGACGGATTCATTGGCCTTTTGAAGACCATAATTCGTGCGTAAGGTGATCAATTCGAACAAATCCAAACTTATTCTAAAATTTGATATTATTTCCAACATCTTTTGCTCTAAAAAAATGTAAAAATTATGGCGTTTGACTTTGTTGCAGTTTGTTTGTTTACAAACTGCAGGACAAGAATGTTTTCTCATCGGAGAAAACTAAATTCGGCAGTTCACCACTGTCGGCCAAGCGAAGCAACTCTTTAGCTCTTTTGAGTCTAAGATTCAAAAGATTTATTCACATTTAAATGTTGGAGTTCCCTAACGATAGCCACTTGTGGTTTTCCATCACGAATAACTTTTTTTGTGGAAAATTCTCACCAAAATGCTTTTGTACGCTTGTAAACAATATAATGGGCTGTCACTGGAATAATTTTAACGGTTGTCGAACGGGTGGCTTAGAAATGACAACAGTCTGAAGTTGATTGCAGTTTTTTCATTTCACCCTGTATGTTGTAGGTAAGGGGATCTTTATTACAAGTATCTTTATTGTAGCCAAAATGAATTCAAATCTGCAGAAACTTTTACCACTATGTTGTAGGGTATCAAATGGTCGGCTTTTGCTTACTGGTTTAACAAGAACATATTTGATAGAAAAAAAAACTTTGTGAAATGAGAATTTCTCAAACTCCCATAACATTTTAATTAATGTATTGTAACGCCTAATTTATTGTCCCAAATATAACGCAACATATTTTAAGCCTAAAAGTAATTGCCTAACTCTAATCGGCAATTTAACTTTAGCAAACATATTAATCTATCCAAAAAGGCCTAAGGGCTAAATATTAAACGGCGTGCTTTCATTTTAAAATTTCAATATTAAAATAATGAAAATATTTAAGGACTAGAATGTGATGGAGGTCATCATTATCGACTTTAGTGTATTTTTAATCGTCAAAGGAAAGTTATTTTTTTTATAATTAAGCCACTTTGGCGTTAAAAAAAAAATTATTTAATTACAGATAACAAAAATAAGCACAAGTGGTGGAATTAAAACAGTAAAAAAAGGAAGAAAGAAACACAAAACAAAATTGCAATGAAATTAAATATTCATGCTCTTTGATGGCGGCAAAAAGTATGTCCTTTCATTGTTACCCCTGCTTTGACCACACACAAACACACAGACACACACACCGAAAGAAGGAAACGAATTGGCATGGTGGTGAAAGGGCTGCCATGAAAAAAGTTCACAACGGACAATATTCTGTTTCCTGGACTCTTTATTTTTTCGTTTTCGTTATCGTTTTTTGTTTATTTTTTTCTCAACTTTTTTCCCCATTTATCTTCATTAAATTTGTATAAGGAAAGTATGAATTTGCTGGACAAGCGACCCAACCAAACCGGAGAAATGTATATGCAGATAAGGAAAGGATCCCCATTTTTTTGTTGTTGTTATCTCATTGGCATTGAAATGAGAAACTGCCGCACACAGAGAATTACAAAATAAAATACAAATTATGAGGTGATGCCAATGCTGAATTGGCTAATAAAGGAAACAAAAAAAAAATGACAGAACAAAATGAAAAGGAAAATATTCTTACCTTGTACACTATTGCGCAATAATTGCCAGAAGAATGCTAATAAACTTTCGGCACCCTCGCCGCCATAACGCTTAACCGTTGGAAATTTCGTGGCCATAAAATTATCCCAAGCCTGTGACTTTATTAATAATTCAGCGATTTGTTTGCGATTGTCATTGCTGAGATACTGCTGGCACTCGGAGCGAAGCTTTTCGAAATGCACGGCCAACCATTCACGTTCTTCCAAATTCTGGAAAAAAAAATTGAGAAAAAATACAATTTTATAAATTAGGCTTCACTTTCGACTATAAAATGAAGGGTATATTAAATTTTTTTGCAACGCCTCGACATATTTATTGGAGACCCCAAACCGATTGGAAAATATGACCAAGATCCTAGAAATAAATGAAATCAGGGGATCTTTATATACCTTAGGTATAACCAATCCTGGACCTACATTGATAATTTCTTGCAGTTAGGGATTTTACATAACACAAGTAAAAAAGCAGTAAGTTTGGCCGAACTACCATTTGGAATGAATTTTACAACATTCAAATACGAAACATGAAAAAAAATCCGGTTAATAATTTTGCTAAAATCATCAAAATACCGAATATGGGAAAGTACCGTTATATGGAGGCTATCCGAAGGCGTGGACTATATAAACAATTCTCTTCTAGAGTGTAAAGTACTCAAAAAAACTCTCTGTGGATTTTCAGACATAAACATTGAAAAAGGTAGATACAATTATCAAAATACCGAATATGGGGACGTACCGTTAAGTGGGGGATATACGGTATCGTGGACCTATAAAAACAAAAATATTCCAGAGGGTAAAGTACAATATAGTAGAGAGTAAAGTTTATTGGTGTTAAGATGGAATATATCGGTCTACTCCGTCTGGTAATTAATCCCCACCCAAAAAAAAATTTTGAAATTTCCAAAAAATATATTTTCTGCACAGATAAAGCATCCGATTTAGCTCCATCTTTGCAAATCCTAATATTTGCGTCAGTTCTAGGTCAGGTGTTAAAATGGACAACATCGGTCCACTCCATCAAGTACTTGCTCAACGAAGGGTCAAAATTTTGAATAATTACAACTTTTATAAAATTTGATGTAAAAGTTCGATTGTCTTCAAATTTCACACATCCAAATATTTTTTTAAACTCAATATCTGGTGCTAAGATGGAATATATCGGTCAACTCCTTCCGGTACCTTCCGCAACAAGGTCGAAATTTTGAATATCCAATAAGCTCATAAAAAGCGAAATTAACATCCGATTACATTTTGACTTGTCACATCTGAATAATTCCATCAAGACAGGACCTGTTATAAAAACGGTAGAGATCGAACCATTCCTTCTGGTACCTCCCCTACACAGAGTCAAAATGTTGAATTTTCATGAAGGTCGCAAAATGCGAAATAAGGATCAGGTTATCTTTATATTTCACAAATCCCATTATTTCTACTAACACAAGATCCATTGTGAAGATGGGATATATCGGTTCACTCCTTCTAGTACCTCCCCCACAAAGGTTCAAAATTTTGAATATGCATGAAGCTTATAAAAAGCGAAATTAACATCCGATTCTATTCCAGACTTTGTGAAACTGTTATAGAGATGGTAGAGATCGGATCATTTCTTTTGCTACTTACCTCACATAGAGTTCAAGATTTTGAAAAACAAAACTCCAAAAGAAGACGAAATAATCATTCAACTCTCCTCAAATTTCATATATATCTGGGAACCGCTTCTGGTACTTCACTTACACAGGGTCACAATTTTCAATACTTTTATCTGTCATAATTTACGAAACAAGCCAGCGACTTCCTATATATCATCTTCCTATATATCATCTTCCTATATATCTAGATATTCTTCTCAACCAGAAACCTGAGATGAATATGGAATTTACGATTTCCCATTAATTGGATATAAATGTTAGATTTTCTTATAATACCATACCATTATTTTTATATATGTATATTAGATGAAGCATGAAAATTGAATACCTGGTACCTCACGCACATGTTAACATTTTCTAAAAATTATCACATTTGTCATGTAAAGTGGAGGAAGTTACCAACCTGTTACCAAGTTCCTCCATATTTATATCGTATTTATTTAGGTCCAATACTTCTTTACAACTTGCTATATTTAAATATTTCTCCCAACCAGAAAATTTAAATGTAAATTTTCGATTTTCTTGTAATTTTGCCCATATCAATATTTTTATGTGTATTAGATGAAGTATGGGAATGGAATACTTCTGTAGATTATATCTGGTAATTCAAGGACATTTTAAAATTTTCTAAAAATTATCACATATCTCATATAAAGTGGAGGAAGTGACCAATATATTTCGAACCTGGCACGTCGCAATATTTATATCATAAATATTATGTCATATTTATTAAGGTCCGATACGAAATCGATGGCCCAATGTTGGCCCATTCCTTCGGAATCTACTACTTAGAGGGTCAATAATTTGAATAATCCTAAGAGAAGTCCAAATATATTTATATAATCGAAAATTGGCTAAGGGCATAGCTTTGTATGGCATAACCGAGTGATACTTTTTACCTTTTTTTGTTATGAATTTACAATATCTTTTTCCAAAATGTAATTAATCTTGTCCATTAACCGATAAATACTACGGCACAAACATATAAACTTCTAACGCACACACATATTCTCATTCCGGAAACGCACATAAAAACTGAACTTACCTCAACATATCCAAATTCAGCACTGACAGTATTGCCGCAGTAAATCTCTTTTAGTAATCTCTCCAATTCCTCCACAGTTGTTGTAGGACTAGCCAATTCCGGTGCATTAAAAATGCCCTGTGGTTTGACACACTCCTTACTTTGAAGGCCATAAAATACTGGATTTAATTCTTCCAAAAAACTGTGGCAAAAAGAAAAAAAATATATAAAACAATATTACATAAAAATGTATGAAATATAGATGATGGGGGATTATCATTTTAAACGTATTTATTTTAAATTTTTCTTTGTGGAAGAATTTCGCTGGGAAATGTGAAATAATAAATTTGGATTAACTTTATTTTATTTTCATGTGTTTAAAAAAAAAGAAAAGGGATTTTTATGTCCTTATTTTCACTAAATAAATGGGGTTTTCGATTAAAAAACCGACTTCTAAAGACTGAGGGGTAAAAATGAAAAGTATTTAAAAATACTTTTTTTTAAAGACATATTAAAACAAGAACATTAAGTTCGGCCGGGCCAAACTTTTAATACCCTCCACCTTAGGGTAAAGGAAACATTAGAAGAAATGTGGCAAAAACCATTATAATGCCGAATATCGGGAGGTACTGTTATATGGGGGCTGTACCAAATCCTGGACCTACACATGCAATGTTTCGCCAAAGGAGCTAGAACCCATTATGACCTACAAATACCAATTTTCAGACAAATCCGTGAAGAAATGAGGCAAAAATCATCAAATTACCGAGTATCGGGAGGTACCGTTATATGAGGGCTATACCAAAACGTGAACCTATAATTACAATGACTCGCCACACGAACTGGGACCCATTATGATCTACAACTACCAACTTTCAGAGAAATTCTTGAAAAAATATGTCAAAAATCATTAAAATACCGTATATTGGAAGGTACCGTTATATGGGGGCTATACCAAATCATCGACCTATACATGCAATGCTTCGCCACCGGGGCTGGAACCCATTTTGACCAAAAAATACCAATTTTTAGACAAATTCGTGAAAAAATGTTGGAAAAAATTAAAACACCGAATATCGGGAGGTACCTTTATATGGGGACTATACCAGAACGTGGACCGATATATCTCATTTTCAATACCAACCATCCTAGACACAACACAAATTGCTCTGCTAAATTTTGGCTCCCTAGTGGTGCTTCGCTTGGCCAAAAGTGGTGAGCTGCCGACTTTGGTTTTCTCCGATGAGAAAACATTCGTTGTCCAGCAGTTTGTAAACAAACAAAATGATCGTGTTTATTTCCCAAAGAGGTCAGCTGAAAATGTGCACCTTCGGTTGAACACCAGAACTCAAGCGCCAGCCATGGTGGTGTTGTGCGCCGCCATAACAGCCGATGGTCGCTCTCCGCTCGTAATAATGGAACGTGGCATGAGAATAAATGCAGAATATTATCGGGAAAATGTTCTGGAGGGTGTATTAAAGTCTTGGGCACGCAAATATGTTGGCCGCAAACCTTGAACATTCCAACAGGACAGCACCATCGCACTCAACATACGCCACCCAAGAATGGTTACAAAATGAGGTTCCTCGCTTCATTTCCAGCGCACAATGGCCACCAAAATCTCCGGATACCAATTCGTTGGACTATTGTGTCAGGAGTATTTTGGAAAGCAAGGTTGGCACTAAAAAATACAAAAGTGTCGATCACCTTAAGCGAGCGCTTCGCCGGGAATGGGCCAAAATACCGCAAAGCAACATTCGGGCAGCGTGCGACAGTTTCATTGGCCTTTGAAGGCCACAATTCGTGCCAAAGGTGACCAATTCGAACAAACCTAAACTTATTCTAAAATTTTATGCTATTTCCGACATTTTGTGCTTTCATTCAATAAAATGTAAAAATTATGACTTTGTTGCAGTTTTTGTTATCTCACCCTGTACGTATTTGCTATTACCTCCGTTCCTATATTGAAAAATGAGAATTTTGAATAAGCGTATGTTTTTAACCCAAATATACGGATAAATCACACTTTTAAACCCAACATATTTAAAACACTGTGAACTTAGTTTCTGGGCAGCAAACAACAAATCTTTCTTTAACAACGAAATCATTTGTCCGCTTGAATTTACTTGTGCCTAACAATTGAGCAAAAACAAAAGTATTGAAAAAAAAAAACGGAAGAAAGGAAAACAAGGACTAGTCCTGTTGTTAGGAAATAATGAATGGTTGAATGACTGTTAGCTTATTTGGCGGATGAATGTTGGCCTATTGTTGTAGTTGATTCTTTTTTGCTGGTTTCAACATTTATTTTCGTTGTGGTCGGTCGTATGTCGTATGAGATTTGCTAAACTTTGGGTTTGTTGTAACATTTCTTCAATGTTTTTGTATTTGGATTTGTTTTTTTTTTTGCTTTGCTTTATTACCTTTGTTGACTTTTAATGCTGATGGGATTTACGGCTGCCAATTTGTGACCATATTTGCGATAAGCTTCCACCCAACGGTACACATTACCTTGGGCATTTCTCGACTGTACCACATCCTCCGGAACTGAAGTGATGAATATACATACATACGTACGTAAGTAAGATATTTTATTTTAGGCCACCGTCATCAAAGTTCATTGTTTTTTTGTTGAAAGGCATTCATGCAAAGGAAAATAAAGGGGAAAGGAAGAGAAAAAAAAACGTTAAAAGAAAAACATAAAATATAAGTTTTTTATTCGAAAAATTGGCTTAATGTTATGGTGTTATTGCTAGTCTAAATGTTTAGAAATATGGGTCGATGCCAGTTAGAAAATATTGGCTTGAGGTTTTTGCGGAAACAAAACTTTTTTATGAAAAAGATCTTATCTATACATGAAATATTGCAGAATATGGCATGATAGGGATCTGAATATATAACGTGAAGATGTCCTCTACACAGCGAAGACCCTCAGCAGGTCTTCTACACATAGAAGACCGTTAGGAGGTCTTCTATACCTAGAAATCCGTCAGTAGGTTTTCTATACCCGTTAGGAGGTCCTTTATGCAAACAAGATCGTCAGGAGGTCTTCTTTACCGAGAAGGCCGTCAGTAGGTCTTCTATATGGAGAAGACCGTCAGGAGATCTTTTATACATAGAAGAGCATCAAGAGGTCTTCTATACCGAGAAGACCGTCAGGAGGTCTTCTATGCAAGAAAGACCGTCAGCAGGTCTTCTATGCATGGAAGACCATCTGGACGTCTTCTATACAGAGAAGACCAGCAGGACGTCTTCTCCACAGAGAAGACCATCAGAAGGTCTTATATACACAGAAGACCGTCAGGAGGTCTTCTTAACATAGAAGACCGTCAGGAGGTCTTTTTTACATAGAAGACCGTCAGGAGGTCTTTTTACATAGAAGACCGTCAGGAGATCTTCTATACATAGAAGACTGTCAGGAGGTATTCTATACACAGAAGACCGTCGGGAGGTCTTCTATACATAGAAGACCGTCAGGAGGTCTTCTATACATAGAAGACCGTCAGGAGGTCTTCTATACATAGAAGACCGTCAGGAGGTCTTCTATACATAGAAGACCGTCAGGAGGTCTTCTATACATAGAAGACCGTCAGGAGGTCTTCTATACATAGAAGAGCGTCAGGAGGTCTTCTATACATAGAAGAGCGTCAGGAGGTCTTCTATACATAGAAGAGCGTCAGGAGGTCTTCTATACATAGAAGAGCGTCAGGAGGTCTTCTATACATAGAAGAGCGTCAGGAGGTCTTCTATACATAGAAGGGCGTAAGGAGGTCTTCTATACATAGAAGGGCGTCAACATGTCTTCTATAAATAGAAGGACGTCAACAGGTCTTCTATAAAGAGAAGGGCGTCAACAGGTCTTCTATAAAGAGAAGAGCGTCATGAGGTCTTCTGTACATAGAAGACCGCAGACAGGTCTTATATTCATAGTTCCCAGCATATTGTGAAGAATATTTTCTTTCAAAACAGGTTAGAGATTATGCTTAAGGCTAACACATGGTAATCCTTCTAACCTTGCGAAATCAATTTGTTCATAGCTTAATTATCCTTACGCGTGTTCCAAGAGCATCTTGTTCTGTATTACCAAAAATGTCATTTGTGTTAGCCACAAAAAATCCTTGGCAAAAAGTGTTATCAAGAGGAACAAGTTTTGTAGTGCGTCTCCTCATATTTTCTCACACACGCAAACACTCACAAATACAAATTAATCGGACATATTGACTTTAACTCCGAATAATAATGCCTTGCGTTCAATAAACAATGTTTGGATTAATCAAAAACTATCGAAGACCACAATTGTTATGTCAAGTGTGTCACAGAGATTGCTTCGAACAAATGTCGATTTCCACACACACACACACACATGCAAACATATAATTTGGTATGTGTGTACACAGATTGCACAATACAAATAAACAAAGTTTAGTTGAGTTTTAGAGTTCATATTAGGGTGGTTTCTGGGTTTATGGTGATATAGTTTTCGGTAGAGCTCAGGAACTTTCCTGTCACTTCATATAAGACACAACGACAAATGTGGATCCACATCTTGTTTAAAGTGTTGTAACGGAACAGTCTATTAAAGAAAGTCAGAAAGACTTTTGAATGGAAATGGGATTATCGATGCATTCCATATAACCACCCTAATATCAATATGCACATATGCAAATATGTTTTACTTCCTTTAATCTCTTTGTATCCGTTCAATGTCTAAGCAGAAATGCATTAAAGCAATCTTGTCGACACAGGCATGTCATGGACATGATGTGGACATGCTATTGTGAATGTCCAAACAGTGTTACGAGTTGTAATGATTGGGAAAATTATATTGGAAAGCATGGTAAGAAGAGTAAAAATTCTGATAAAGGTAATAGGTTCTGTAGTGTGGGTATCAAATTGTGATGATTCTTAAATTGTAGGTTTCTGTTAAAGAACGTTTGAGGTATATTGAAAGAATTCAAAGATTGAGGATTCATAAAAATGCTTACACAAACCTTCAAACTACCGACTTATTATTCCCCATCCACTATGCTGTCGTATTTATGTGTATGTGAATCTCTCTCTCTTTCTTTTGGTTGCATTGATATGTAAACAGATGGTATGTTGAAGTATGTCAATGGAATATCTTCAATTGCAGATTGCAGTCTTATACCGTAGAACGACCAGTATAAGACACAGACGTGTTGAAGATAGATACGTATTCCAAAAGTCGAGGTTAAATAGTTATGCATGCATTTGAATATAGATACATACATACATATTTACAAAACGATTGATATTTCACTTAAAGTATTTGAGTGAGGTCTCCATGTGGGTGTATGAGTGTGTGTTTGTGTGGTAGTACATGTGAATTGATTCACATGTCCTTAAGGATAATGGTATTTGATTTTGTGTGAATGTCCGTTTTTGAAATATCAAACATAACATTATCGGTTTACTGGTGGAATCGGACACTCGAATAAATAACATTTGAAAATATATTGACATTACATATCTTAAATTGAAGTTTCTTCTGCTGGACGCTATGATTTAAAATTTTAGTTATATTCTTAAGGGGCTATATGTCATTAAGATTTAACAGAAAACTTAATATTTTACTCATAAAAATCTTTATACAGGTATTTTACTTTCTACAAATCTTCTATGGATAGAAGGGGATGGAAGACCCTATCCAGGTTTTCTGGCGATAGAAGACCATTAAGGGGTCTACTTTGGATGGATGACAGCAGGTTTCCTGTAGACATTAAACCATCAAATGGATTCGTGTGGGAAGAAGAGCCTCAGCAGATATTCTATTGTTAGAAGAACCTTACCAGGTTTTCTGTAGACAGAAGATTCAAATCAGGTCTGTTATTGTTCGAAGATCTTCTATGGTAAAAAACTCTCACTAGGTCTCCTAACATTAGAAGCACCTCAGCAGGTCTCTAAACATTAGAGGATATCATCTGGTCTTCTATGGCTAGAAGACCCTCAACAGGGTTTCTATGGTTAGAAGCCCCTCAACAGGTCTTCTATGGTAAGAAGAAATAAAATCAAAATAGAGTGCTCTATGGTTAGAAGACCCTCACCAGGTTTTCTATAGCGAGAAGACCCTCATCAAGACTTCACTTCTATGGCTTGAAGACCCCCACCAGCTCTTCTATGTTTAGAAGATGTTTGCAGTCCTTCTATGGTAGATAATAATGGAAGATTCTCACCATGCTTTCTATGGTTTGAAGACTCTAATCAGGTCTCCTAATATTAGAAGACTCTTGCCAAGTCTTCTATTATTGAAAGATCCTCACTTCAATGGTAAGAAGACCCTCAAAAGGTTTTCTATGGTTATAAGACTTTCGCCAGGCTTAGTGAGCCTTCTATGGATAGAAGACCGTCTGCAGCTCTTCTATGGATAGAAGACCGTCTGCAGCTCTTCTATGGATAGGAGACCTTCTACGGATCTTCTATGGAAAGAAGACATTCTACATCTCTTCTAAAAATAGAAGACCTTCTGCAGCTCTCTTCTATGGATAGAAGACCTTCTGCAGCTCTTCTATGGATAGAAGACCTTCTGCAGCTCTCTTCTATGGATAGAAGACCTTCTGCAGCTCTTCTATGGATAGAAGACCTTCTGCAGCTCTCTTCTATGGATAGAAGACCTTCTGCAGCTCTCTTCTATGGATAGAAGACCTTCTGCAGCTCTCTTCTATGGATAGAAGACCTTCTGCAGCTCTTCTATGGATAGAAGACCTTCTGCAGCTCTTCTATGGATAGAAGACCTTCTGCAGCTCTCTTCTATGGATAGAAGACCTTCTGCAGCTCTTCTATGGATAGAAGACCTTCTGCAGCTCTTCTATGGATAGAAGACCTTCTGCAGCTTTTCTATGGATAGAAGACCTTCTGCAGCTTTTCTATGGATAGAAGACCTTCTGCAGCTTTTCTATGGATAGAAGACCTTCTGCAGCTCTTCTATGGATAGAAGACCGTCTGCAGCTCTTCTACGAATAGAAGACCTTCTGCAGCTCTTCTACGAATAGAAGACCTTCTGCAGCTCTTCTACGAATAGAAGACCTTCTGCAGCTCTTCTACGAATAGAAGACCTTCTGCAACTCTTCTACGAATAGAAGACCTTCTGCAGCTCTTCTACGAATAGAAGACCTTCTGCAACTCTTCTATGGATAGAAGAACTTCCACAGCTCTTCTATGGATAGAAGACCTTCTGCAGCTCTTCTATGGATAGAAGAACTTCTGCAGCTCTTCTATGGATAGAAGACCATCTACAGATCTTCTATGGATAGAAGACCTTCAATAGCTCTTCTGTGGATAGAAGACCTTCAACAGCTCTTCTATGGATAGAAGACCATCTACAGCTCTTCTATGGATAGAAGACCTTCAATAGCTCTTCTGTGGATAGAAGACCTTCAACAGCTCTTCTATGGATATAAGACCTTCTACAGCTCTTCTATGGATTGAAGACCTTCTACAGCTCTTCTATGGATAGAAGGCTTTCCAGAGGTCTGCAAAAGAAGGTTCGTAGAATTTTTTCTATCCTTCGTCTGATAGAAAAAATATTT